TATATATATATATATATATATATATATATACTCACTGATCACACCACCAGGATCTACAGCACGGACATTGGATGTCATTTGGACTAGAGAAGTGTGGTCGGCTGATCACAAAGAGGGGGAAGGTGATCCGCACAGAAGGAGTCTCACTCCCACAAGGAACAATAGCAGACATAGAGGACAGTTACAAGTACCTAGGTATACACAAGCAAATGGCAACCTCGATGAGGTCACAAGGAAAGGAGCCACAGCTAAATACCTCCAACGAATAAGGCAAGTCCTGAGAAGCCAGCTCAATGGCAAGAACAAAATCGTGCGATAAACAGCTATGCCCTGCCAGTAATCAGAAACCCTGCTGGAATAATTAGCTGGCCAAAGGAGGAGATAAAAGCCACAGATATTAAGACTAGAAAGCTACTAACCATGCATGGAGGGTTCCATCCCAAATCCAGCACCCTGAGACTGTACACGAGCCGCAGGAGGCAGAGGACTAGTGAGTGTGAGAACCACTGTCCAGGAAACAAACTAAGATCATAAATACATCAGGGGACAAAGCCTCAACAGACAATGTGCTCAGTGAATGTCTCAGACAACAGGGAACGGAGGTTGAGGCCAGAGATACCATCATGGAGGACAAGCCCCTACATGGGGATGTACCACCAGCAAATAACCGAAGTGGCTGATATCAGTAAATCCTACCAATGGCTGGAAAAAGCTGGACTCAAGGACAGCACAGAGGCCCTCATCCTGGCCGCCCAGGAACAGGCCCTAAACACCAGAGCAATAGAGGCCCAGATCTACCACACCAGACAAGACCCAAGGTTAGGTTGTGCAAGGAGGCCCTGAGACGTCCAGCACATCACAGCAGGGTGCAAGATACTGGCAGGGAAAGCTACATGGAACGACATAACCAAGTGGCAGGCATAGTGTACAGAAACATCTGTGCAGAATATGGACTGGAAACCCGAGATCAAAGTGGGAAACACCCCCAAAGGTGTGGAGAACGCCAGAGCTAAGATCTGTGGGACTTCCAGATCCAGACAGACAGAATGGTAATGGCGAACCAACCAGACATTGTCGTAGTGGATAACAACAGAGGAAAGCCGTTGTGGTAGATGTAGCAATACCAAGTGATTGCAACATCAGGAAAAAGGAGCACGAGAAAAACTAGAGAAATACCAGGGCCTCAGGGAAGAACGGAGAGGGCCTGGAAGGTGAAGACCACAGTGTGCCTGTGGTCATCGGGGCCCTCGGGGCAGTAACCCCCAAACTGGAGCAGTGGCTAAAACAGATCCCAGGAAAACACATCAGACATCTCAGTCCCAGAAATGTGCAGTCCTTGGCACAGCCAAGATACTACGCAGAACCCTCAAGCTCCCAGGCCTCTGGTAGAGGACCCGAGCTCAGAGGATAAGAACCACCCGCGGTGGGTGAGAAGGGAATTTTTTATATTATTCTAGTGATTTAATGAATGACTATAAAAAAGAAAATTATAACAATCACAAATGAACAAATAAAAAAACTGAGAAATACTGAGAAAACATAAATAAATAAGAATATTTCATCTATTATTGTTCATGGCAAATGACAGAAAATTAAATATAGGTGTGTAAAATGTATTATTTTAAATCCATCAATTTAAAAGAATACATTTTAAATGGATGTGTTAATTATGTAAACCAATATATACTATCAAACTACAATTTAAATTTAATTTAACAAAACTAGTTTCGCTAGACTCAACAACAATAGCAAACATATTGTACTTACTTTTTTTTTTTTTTTTAAATTGATTTCCCAATATAATTTGAAGATCTCTGCTTTATTTTTCATGAGGCAGGTCTAAACCCAAATACTGGGAACCACTGATATAGAACACATGCCTATCTCCTTCCGGAAATGATTATCATCTTGTAATATAATCTTTATAGCCTACTATATTAGACAAAGAGTAGAGTAGATGTAATTAGCACTGACTTAACTTACACCTTTATATTACTTTGTCTTTATGTTTAATGATTTGATTGTTTATTTTCTTTGTTTTGATGTCTAAAGCAATTAATAAAATTAAGTAATAGAGCATAACTGCTTTCTGGTATTGCCAGGTATGTGGTATTCTGTGGTGAATTTGCAAATATTCAAATCTTTTATGCCATTTCAAAAATAAATGTTTTGTCATTTTTATTTTTTATTTATTTATTGCCGTTTTCGTCCTCCGTGAAAGTCCAGTAATCTCAGTAATGCACAACTCCAACAGGCTGTTTTGGTTTGATCAGAGCAAAGCATGCTGGACTGCAGTTCAACGCCCAAAATGGCGGCACGATTGAAAAGTTTTTGCTGTTTCCATCGAGTTTGTCTTTTTAACAGACCTTTTCCTTAGTTGCTCTAGACACGCGCCGTGTCTGTTTTTCTTTTAAAGTCTCTGATAATCAGGGTTTTGTTTTTTGTCGACCTGTTAAGCCATAAGAACAGAGCTGGGATGGCGAGTTGCTATCAGCTCCTAACTGGGTATCTCTTTAGATACACAGTGCTAAAATAAATTAGCCTAGCAGGCTAACCGCCCTTAGATAGGTGCTGTTTTAAAGCTCCTGGGGTCCTACCCAGTCTCACGTAGATCTCCGGGCTGAAGAGAGAATGAAGAAGACAACTTAGAGATGGAGGAAGATGTGAAAAAAGTCAAAAAGGTGGGTTGCGGTGCACTTTTTTGAACATTAACTACACGCTAACTTGTTAGCTTGCCGGGAGTAAGGCTAACTGTTAGCTAATTAGAAAAGTTTAGTGCTAGCTGACAAGCAATCATAATCAAACACACCACTTTACAGCACTAACATGCAGGTAGTATGTTTAATAAGCTATTCAAAAGAGGGAATACTAGTGAATATTGCATAATGTGTTTGATTAGTGGAGTTTAGTGCTGTGGGTTAGATTTAATGCAGATCAAGTCAGATCTGCATTAAACTTTTGAACGATTGTTCTTCTGTGGGTTTCCATGTTACAAACGTCGGCGTTCTTCACTTTTCTTGTTTCACGTTTTAGTTGTTGCTCATCTGCAATTATCGGTTTAAAGTTTTTAAAATATCATTTAGGAATTATTGCATAACTAAGAATACTGCATTTAATTATCAGAGATTAGTTTGTCCCTTAATGTAATAGGTGCATACCGTAATTCCAACAGCCTCTAAGACACAGACAAAACACGTTTGGTTGACAGGTAGGAGAAACTGTTCTCGATAGTTGTTCTGGTTCAAGAGAGTGAGCAGATTTACTATCTCCCCCTCACAAAAGGTCCCTGCAATACTATGCAATGACCCCCAGCTGATGTGGGATTTACTTTCCATACTAGACGTGTAATAATTTGTAAAGGTACATTCTGTCGTTTTCTTAAATGTCAAGATGGGACAAACGGTGGAAAAAAACAACAACAAACAAACAAGTTAGTTTATAATTGTTTGTTCTTGGTAGAAAGCGGTGATCACATTGTTTTATTCTTAATGGTATCAGTTTAATGCCTCTTTGTAATGTTTATTTTGGTAGATGGGCAACTGCAGTGACTATTTTTACCACATGGTGCTGATAGGGAGTCACTTTAATGACGCGATAAATTGCTCCTTTGAATTTTACCAAGAGTTATCTTAACTCATAATATTTGGTCTAGTGCAAATATATTCTGGACCATTGAGGTTCAAAATCTTATTTGGAGGAATATCATGGCTGATATATGATTTTCACCAAACATTGACAGAAATTTCATTTCTGTAGAAGCTTTTTTGATTCCTTTCAACATTAGTAATCCACTAATGCTACCAACTGAATTTTAGAAGTGAAAGAACTCAATTTATAAATATAGAAATGTTACTATGAATCAGCTATATCAGCAGTATATTCACTTTAGATACAGCTTTCAGTGAATAATGCCAAGACATGATGAATTTACATGTCAATGTCGTTAACCTTGAAAAGTATTGCTTTACATATTCCATGAAAGTGCCTTCCTCTCTTGATCTCTAGATTAAGAACATTTGAAATATAATGGCAAGTAAGTTGCTTGCCAAGGCTGCTGTATCAAATGACAAAGGCAGAAGTCGTAAAATGTTAATGTGTTGAGCTGTGGCATACTATTAAATAATGCAGCAGCACTACCATGGTGTTGTAGTATAACTTTGTAAGCAGCCAAACATCATCAGTGTCATCTGTCTGCTAAAACAATTATTTTTGGGCTGTACTCAAACATATTTGCTTTCTTAAACAGAACTGCAAATGGGATTTGTTCATCAACATATGGTTAGTTGAGAAAGTGCCAATAGTCTTAAAGAAATTCAATGATTAGTTTATGGCAAGTTTTGAAGTCTCATTACTTTTTAATATTAAATATTTCAAATGATCCTTTCAATGTGAACTGAAACAGATGCTACCTTAAAACTAGATTAGGTAGCTCTACTTCAAGTTTGTCAAAAGCACCAGAGACTCTGCTCTGAAATATTTATAGGGGTGTAACAGGAACTTTTCGAGATATTAAAGCATCACCTTATTTCTTGTGATGATGCCCAACTCAAAAAGTGAAAAGCCAACAGGCAGAGTAAGAGACTCATGGATTTAAAATATCCATTTATTAATCAGTCTTTATGTGTGTAGCACTCTCACACACAATAAAGTGACCAAAGTTCTTCATCTGTAAAATAGGCAAAGAAAGTGAAATAAAAGAAACAAGAACACAATGCCAGAATAAAATAATCAATAAAAGCAGGAATAGATTTAGGAAGCCTAATTCTCCAGCCCCCAAGAATAAAAAAACCAAGAAAAATAAATGAGTTTTTAGAAGAGATTTTAAATCATCCAAGCTTCTGGTGGACATTACAGATAATGTCCTTATTTTTTTAAATCTTTGATACTTTGTCTTTTAGTTTTTATATTTGCTACAACATCAATTGCCCAATTTGGGATACGAAGAAATCTGAATCTGGGAGAATATTGTAGGACTCTGATAATTAGGTTTGAGACACAGCAATCAATCATACAATTTTGTCATGGAGGAGGTTTCTTGTCTTGGTAACTCCTTGTGTTATTTTCACCAACCTGGCAAGAAACATAACAGTTCATGTGACAAAACAAATAGGAAAATTGAGCAGCTCTTTTTTGATCTATGTGAAGAGTAAAAAGTCAACATGCTAGTGATGCTTATATGTAACTTGTCTGACAAAGTCAGAGTTGAATCTAAAAATAATAATAAGGAAAAAAGCAGCAAGCATGACATGAATGTGAAAATTTTGTTTCTACATTTCCCTTCTGTAAATTTACAACGTAACCAATATTTGAGACGTGACTGGTGTGGTTAGCACAGTGAAATGTATGCCGTTCTTTCTTGCTGTGGTTTTGCAGACTTATGCACAGACTCATTTACAAAGTCCTTAGAGAAAGAGAGTCGGGCAGAAGCTGTGACATCAGAATATCAGTAGTTTTAAGAGTGAAAGCACAAGTGAGGGTTTTTTCTGGCCATTGTCTGCAAAGCAAACCAACAAAAATACGTGAGAAGTCTGCTGCAGAAATGAATGTCACAACATTTAAAGCGCGTGTCATCACAGGAAGTTGTGGCCAGTCCCTTTCCTGTTCTTGTGCCTGAGTAGAAGTCAAAGACACGTTCCTTCCTTTTTTGGGGGTCACACCCCTCATGCGCACCGCCCAGGCCTGGTCCTCTGTTCTTTTCGTCAGTTGGCAGCTGTCACTTTGCAAGCTCGGCCAACTGGAGATAGATTAGTAATTGTAGCTGCACCCGTTGCCAGGCTGTGAAGTTACTATTGAACAGGTGTGTGTGACTGCTTGCTTGCGGGATCATGGAGAGTGAGGTAACGCTTTTTAAAGTCTTCAGGGTCCGAACAGATTTTTACGAGGTGGCTTAAAATATCAAGATCTTCAAGCAGATTTTATTTTCGCTTATACATAATGCAGCATTTATACATGCAAATTTTGTTTTATATTTGAGCTTAACTCTCAGTATCATTATTATTCCTTTTGCTTTTGTTAAAACAGTGAGGTGAAACATAAACGCTGTCAGAAGCACTTTACTATTTCATCTCCTTGTATATTTATTTGTGTATCTAAGCAATATCTTAATCAGACTACTAAAACTATGTGGGGGTGTTTATATAGAGAGCTATGCTATTTAAGTCTGCTGCATGACTTAAACAGAATAGTTTGGCCTATTTTGCTACATACATGATGTGACTTGGGCATGTTAGTGAAAGCACATCAGGCTATCTATTTTTGTCATCACCTCTGTTTTGTTATCTATAGCCGGGGATTGTGTCTCCGTTCAAGCGGGTCTTTCTGAAAGGAGAGAAGGGAAGAGACAAGAAGGCTCAGGAGAAATCCACAGAGCGCAGGGCCCTCCATACCTTCTCCCTGTCTCAGCCTGACCACCGCATTGACCCTGACATTCTGCTTAATGACTACATTGAGAAGGAAGTAAAAGTGAGTTTAACTGTCGAAGTATGTTTCTTGATCATACACATATTAAAGGGATCTAACAAGTTGTTTTTTGTTGAGTGAGGCATTAGTCATAGAGATGAATCAAACAAAACAAAAACTCTTAATGTAAAATAGTCACCTGTTCTTTTCTGTCAGTATTTAGGGCAGCTGACATCAGTTCCAGGATACTTGAACCCATCGAGTCGAACAGAGGTTCTGCAGCTCATTGACAATGCAAGAGTAAGTATATGCACAGTGTTAGCCTGGACCATCAGTATGATTTTCCTACATCTTTATTTGGGTGGTTACTAGTACAAAGCTGACAGTAGCAGGAAGTAGTTTAATCCCAGTGTACAAACTTGATGTACAAAGGTCCAACTCTTTGTAACTACTTTGGCCGTCTGCTTTAGGTTGTTTTCCATTTGGAAGATCTGTTTGCATAATGTTGTTAACAATTCCCCTCTCACCCACCGTGGGTGGTTCTTATCCTCTGACCTCGGGTCCTCTACCTGAGGCCTGGGAGCTTGTCACTGTAAATATGAGAGTTAAGATTGTTGCACTTCTATTTGTCCATTTCCACCATATCAACTGCTTTTTCAGCCCCTGAAGTGTGGGGTCACGGTTGGCTTATGGTCCAGTCTAGATCAGAGTCTGGACATTGAGAATTGCTGGTGTAATGTTTTCCTCCTCCTATTTTTCAGAAATCCCATCAGTTGGCGGGCCAGCTGACATCAGATCAGGACGCAGTTGTGAGCTTGTCGGCGTACAACATCAAGCTTGTTTGGCGAGATGGAGAAGACATCATCCTTAGAGTGCCAATCCACGACATCGCTGCTGTTTCATACATCAGGGACGACTCTCTGCACCTTGTGGTGATAAAAACAGGTAAAAGGAGAAGCAGTAGCTTCATACTGCTGCATTGAAGCTGCAGCAGTATGAGATGATCTATAATACTGTCCATGGAAATACCAATAGAATTTTTCTGTATTGCAATGTCAAAGTATGCACACAAGTCCCAGCTGCACTTCTATCCAGTAGATGGCAGTAATGCATAGTTAAACTTTTTTTTGTGAATTTCACTTATTTATATTTTCAAAAGTTATAATATTTAAAACAGCTCCAGCCATAGAAAATGCTGCACACACTAAATGTTTATTTATTTATTTAAAAAAAATACTAGTGAGTTTTAAAAAGTGAATAAATCTCAAAATCATTTTTGATATCTTTTATTTTCACCATGCATTCCAAGTGACAAACCATTTGTGGCCTCTTGACCCTGATCTGTTGGCATTATGTAATTCTTCTACCCTCACTAGTAAATTATTTGGCATATTGAAATATAATTTCAAAAACTTAAAATGGACTGGTATGTGATTTTTGACTGCTTATATCTATAATCTCCTTGTATGCATACAAATGCTATGTGATTGATGTCCTGTCACTGACAGAGGACTGTGTGGTCAAATAAGGAGGAGAGAAAAATCAGTTTTTGGTGCAATAAGGACTTCCCAAATCTTTTTTTATTGGTCGTATTGTGCAAATCACATTTTCTTTAGGAACTTCATCACTTTGGTCAAAACCTGCTCCACAATAAGAAATTATTGTTTATAGGCCTCTGTAATACAAATTTAATTTCCTGTCAACAGAACAAAACTGAAAAATCCACATGATCAGGAATATTGCCACTGATGTTAGGGTAGCAGTTAATCAGATGAACTGAGAGTTTTGTGTTTTTGTTATTTCAGCTCAAGAGTCAGGAGGCTCTCCCTGTCCCAGCTCATGTCCTGACCTAAACAAATCCCAGACTCTCAGCTCCCTGTCAGAGAGCGGCGCTGTGCTGGTGGAGGTCTGCTGTCTTCTTGTCCTTGCAGTTGATAATAAGGTATGTTTCCTGAAATGCAAACAGAGATGCTGCTGACAACTTTAAAGCCACCTGTGCTGTCAACAAAAACTAATGACAGTCACATAAAGTCTCCCTCAAATCTTAAGAGAAACACAAGATTTGAGAAAACTGCAATGTCAACAGTTTTTGAAATATGGGGGAAAATACAAACCTGTAAACCAAAATTGCATTCATAAGTCTATTTTTTACATCCTCACCAGCTTAAAAATGTCAAATGGGGGGAAACACAGTGGGTCAAAGATTTCTGCTTCTTGCTTTGTATTTATTTGTCAGGGCTATTTTTTTTTATTTGATTAGAGTTAGAAGTGAACATTTCTAATATTTCTTTGTTCTTGCAGGCAGCAGCGGAGGAACTGTGTCTTTTGCTCAGCCAGGTCTTTCAAATTGTTTACACAGAATCAACTATAGACTTTCTAGACAGAGCCATATTTGATGGAGCTACAACGCCTACAAGACACCCTTCTTTGTACAGTGGTGAGGAAACACAGTCTCTCCAAATAATGTTACATAAGCTGTTTACTGATGATCAATTACACGAAGCTTTGTGCGCTTATTAAGCCGCTAACCTTAAATTGTAAATATTTTGTCATTTTAAAGACGACTCTTCAAGCAAAGTAGATGTCAAGGAGGCTTTTGAGAGAGATACCAGCCCGTTGTATGTACATTTGCGCACAGCCGTTTTTAATTTAAACACTGGTTCACTTGCATCTTACACTGGTGTGTTTTTATTCAGTCCTTTCCAGGCCACAGAAGGAAGCTCTCCTTCTACATCCACCCCAGTTTCCCCTCAGACAAAGGCCCCAAGTGAAGGAGAGCTCAGCACCACTGCTGCAGAGCTTCTGCAGGACTACATGACTACAGTATGGCATTTCATCATTTTTTTTTTTTTGCCTCAAAGAGAGCACAAATAGCTAGGGAATTCTCCAAAACACTTTTCAACGTGTTAATGATTTCTGGCTTGCTTTTTTCTTTTTTTTTTCCTGCACAGTTGCGAACAAAGCTATCATCGCAGGAGATCCAGCAGTTTGCAGCTCTGCTCCATGAATACAGGAATGGCTCCTCTATTCATGAGTTCTGCATCAACCTGCGGCAGCTCTACGGGGACAGCAGGAAATTCCTCCTACTTGGTACAAACACCTTATCTCACGTCAAAGTTTCATCAGACTACAATTTGACGATGATTTAATAGGCCAACGTATACTCAAGAACATGGAAGAGGCTAATTTTGTTTTGACATGAACATAAAGTCCCAAGAAAACATACAAATGTGTGTATGTTTTATGAACATTTTGTATTTTCTTCATGTCCAAGAGATGTTTGACATTATTTCTGTCCTCCCGTTAAGGCCTGCGTCCCTTCATACCCGAGAAGGACAGCCAGCACTTTGAAAACTTTCTAGAGACCATCGGAGTGAAGGACGGCCGCGGCATAATCACGGACAGCTTCGGCCGCTGCAAACGCACGGCCAGCTCTGCCTCCGACTCCACCACCAACGGCAATGGAGCGGCGGGAGGAAGCGGCGACAGCACGGCGTCGGAGGAGGGCCGGGACACCTCCGAGGGAGACGAATGGGACCGTATGATTACTGACATCAGCAACGATATCGAAGCTCTCGGCTGCAGCATGGACCAGGAGGCGGTGACCCCCTGACCTGTCGACATGAAGCCATGGCCACGCCTCAGACGAGCGGTTGACTTTCTTAAAGCGGATCAGATGAAGGTGGTCCACAGCACTGACCTAAGATTTGGTTATATGTTTATTCCTCTAATTATCAAGAGGACGTTCTATTGGCCCTGTACATTTAAGGAAAATCATTCTGTCTAGTCGACTTACGCACTTATGCAGACCTTGTAGTGGACTTTTAGTTATTGTTTTACATTTCAGCTGGATTCGCCTCAGAGTTATTTTTAAACTTTTATCTTTGGTTTTGTACTCATTTATTGGCAGTATCTGCCACTTTTCTCTGTGATAAAGCTTAGCTCTCCAGTCAGCACAGCAGCGACTGGAGACTCCACCGGTAGACTGTGCACACGTTAGAAGGTTAAGACTGAGATTTGTATCTTAATTTAACCATAAATTAATCGGCTTCATCCACCTTCAGTTTTCTTCATTTGTTTCGATGTAAGGATTTTGCTATGTATAGTATCATAAGTTCTGCTTTTACCTCACACTTTGCTAATCAGCGCTAACTCAGTTTATATGTTTATGCCTTATTCAAACTGACCTAGAAGATACTGTAAAAAAAACAATCGCATTCATTTAAAGCCACAAAGTGTGGACTGTATTTTATTTGACAAGGCCAGCTTATGGGTGGTTGATGTACATTTTTTCCAACATTCAGGTCATTTTTGTGTTGCATTAAATTTGTCATTGTGCCTAAATACTGCAGTACTGCTGCCAGCAGGTTCTTAGTGACTCTTAAAGCAGTTTTGCAGCAAGTTGTGGTTATTACATAACAAATCAATTACATTGATTTATATTCATAATGGTATTGCATAATTGCAAGCATCATGATGTTGCATAAAAAAAAAACCAAAACACTTGTGACAGTGTCTCACCTAATTACTGTGTCCCGGTGTGTTGGTGTGCGGTTTGAAGTGGAAATAACAGCATTTGACTCGACTTTCCTACATCATTTTACAATCTAATTATGATCCTTGGATCATTTGCTTGGATGCACCTAAGCTGCCGTGGAACTTGATTCAGCTCCATCAAAATGGTCCTGCTGAATGCCTTCACGGTCAGGGATTAGTTTAGAGTCTCAGGGATGGAGATATTGGCAGGACAAGCTCGGTTTAGTCGCATTCCATTCTCTGATGCCTCTCAACATGTTTCTACTTCCTGTTCCTCATCCAATTCCATAATATTTCACCCACTTGACAAATTTTAACTTAATCCCAACTCTTTTTACCTTGGTCATGTCATGTGGATTGGAGTAGAGCGGGGCTTCTTTTTCTGGATTATTTTATTTGAACCCAGTGATATTGTCCCTCTTTTGCTTTGCTTCAGCAGGAGACTAAATGATCATGACACACAGTCAGTGCAACCAAAATGTTTTCTCACATTATGGGGAGAAACACTAATTGGTCTCCAGTAACTTCTTGTCTTTAATCCAATTTTAGAACGAACAGAGCACCTCTTTGAAGCAAGTAATTACGACATAGCAGAGCTTGTCAGATGAAGCCATTAAAAGAGAAGATTGTGTTGTTTTAGAGTTTGCCGCTCCAGTACTGACCGGAGCCCCTGCTATTATGCCTGCATGAACCTGTCTGGGTGTCCTTCCTGTGGAGCCATTAAATGGGTTCAGTTTGCTCCAAAAAGAGGTAAAAATGTCTAATTTTGGATAAGCTTGCAGTCAGATTTGGAATCATTAGCTTAAAGTTCAGAAAACAGTCACATCTTTGTTTAAACTAACAAGTTGTAGTTATAATGTCTTAATTACTGGTTAAGAAAATGTCAATTTTCACTTTTACAGCTGCTTAATCCACCTCCAGCAGATAGAAAGCACCTGATGTATATTTAAGTTACTTTTTAAATTACTAGTTACCAGCAGCTCTTGTAAAAAAAAACAGATAAACCAACTGACTAATAACTACAAGTTAAAATGTTATTTTTCTGTTCATAAATAACATGTACAGTCAGGTTGGGGGGAAAAAAAGGATAAAAAGGTTTTCTAAAATTACCATTCCTATGTTGGTGAAGCTATTTTTCCAATCTTGGACATGATTCCAGGACCGGATTCAAATTTTCCTCTGACATAAAGTTTGTAAGTTCACACCACTTAACAGTAACATTTCTTTTTGCTTGTCAAAGACTTTGAGTAAATCACTAATAAATGAACAAAATATATTTCCAGTAGGGAAAGTTCACATAATTCAAGTCAGCAACTAAAAAAGGAGCCAATGTGGTCAGTAAAATATAAATGATCAAGTTTCTTTTTCCTGTTCGTGGCACCGAGCTGTTGCATCGTCGCAGTTCATATGAGAGATGTGCCAAAAACACTCCCACACTAAAGTCTCGCTGCGAGTCTGAGAAGGAAGTCTGGGTATCTGGCCCATGTCACCCTGCAGTCCACCTCGGTGACGTTTCTGTCTGCCGTGTTCACGCTATTGCAGCGTGGCCCTGGTGGGAAGTGGCTCTGTCTGTGGTGTCACATCTGTTGTTTTACTGGGAGCGGGCGGCGGCTGGGGGATTCATTTCTCTTTCAGGAACATGAAAATCAGAGCGAGGGAAAACTTAATAGAGGACATATTTTATAGAAGCTGCTTAAATCATTAGAGACTTATTTAACCAACTTGTCAAGAAAATATCCAGTCTTTCTTTATTTGGGTATTGTGTCATATTTTATGGCTGTCATGCAGATAGTGCTGAGTTTCAAGGCTGCCATTTTTATCATGCAAATGAATCTGTTTAGGCATGAAATGAATAACATCATAAGGGACAGCTGGTGGGCAGAGATGCAGTGTGAAGAAAACATTCTTCACTTCAAGTAAGTGATGAATTTGTCTTAAACATTTACTGCGCAGACTAGTACATATTAACAAAACAATTGATTGTCTCTCTTTGAAACAACTGCATTATTAGCAGCAGTAATAATTTAAAAAAGAGGTGTCGGTCAGTATGCGGCTCTCTGAAACTTAACAAAATGAATTAAGGTTTTTGAAAACAGATCTGACTTTCTGGGCAGGCTAAAAAATTAACTCTGGGCTTATATTTTTGAAAATCCTGTGGTAAAAATAAGCCCTGTTTTTCTTGAATGAGCCTCACTGTGAAATTGATGATACTAAATATTTCTGATCACTTCCCATCAGCTTTGTACAACGTCTCTATCTCCTGACCTACGAAGTTAGTAGGTCAAAATCCTGATTAGCAACTCAAAAATCAGTAGACAGCTTAAAGCCAGAAATCAAAGATGAAAACAACTTGTACTTTTGTACTTATGTATTTCAGTTTGCAGTTTTTTGAATGGATCCTTAAACACTAACGACACTTGATAAAAAGCTTCCTTATCCTGTATTTTGTTGACAGGACTCACTTCTAAATATATAGCAGCACTAACTCAACAGTAAAGCCTCCAAGAGCTATGCCTACCCAAAACAATTGAAATTATTCCAGCTGATTACATGATTAAATCAATAATTTTACAAGAAACAGACAACAAATTACAATAAGACTAATAAGGAGAATTTCAATTTTTATATTGTTGAGCCCTCTGAATTATATAAAAAAAAAATACCTTTTTGAAAACAGAATCCTGGGTGTCTGTATAAACACCATCATGTCAGGTTCCACTTATATACGCCTAGGCTCTGTATTGGGCCCCCTTCTGTTTTTGCTCTACATTCTCCTTCTCGAACAGATTATTAATAAATCCTATAATATTTCCCATGACTTTAATGCAAATGATGCTCCTCCACCCACTGCATTTTTGCACGTGTAAAAGGTCACGGGTCATCAATACTTTCGCATGGAACTTTAATGGCAAATACACTTCCTGTTGACTAACATGACTTAGTCCTCAGCTAGTTTTGAAGGATTTCTTACAATCACTTTCCACAAAGTTTGACCTAGCAGAGCGAGAACCTTCGAGAGTTAATGTTCATCTTGGTGACCCCGATTAGTCTCAGGGGGGCCGAGAGCCCGAGCCCCGGTGTGACGGGACACTCGCACAGCAGGTCGGACAGCTCGTCCTTTTCCTCAAGGCCGAAGGTGGCGTCGTTGAGCATGCGACGGTGCAGGTGGCACGTCTGCTCGATCTTCAGCATGTTGATGTCACTCCGGAGACGAATGAGCTGTCTGGCCAGCTGCTGGTCTTGCAAGCGCATATCTGTCTAAACAAGAGAAGACAAGAGGAAATTACCCAATCGGGACACTGGACATTTCTGTTGTTTTCATTGTCACAACAGTGCATTAATGCTGTTTTAGAGTGCACAAGTCTTACTCTAAGGCACTTTTAGGGCACTTACTGAAATGTAACAAGTTGTTCATTGCTTATATGGACTTTATTGACCTCAGATCTCAGTGTGTGGTCTTTATTGTGAAGTAGCATCTGAAAGAACAGCTCACAGTGGGGCATCCACAAACAAACTTCTCATATTTTGCTCATTCCCTCCTTCTGCACAAAGATCACAATCAGCTGGGGTCCTGGTGCAATATGTTTGCAGCCCCATACTGTGCAAGTCCGCCTCCATAAGTGCCTCTTTGTTTGCTCGATCCGAGCTCATGAGCCGTGGCTGAATATGCAGAGTAATTGAGCAGAGTAAAGATGATTACACTTGCAGAAAAATCTGTGTAATTCTATTGTCGGACTCACAATCGATCACACTGTCTGACATGAATGGCATTCTTCTGGCCACTAATTGGACAGCATGAGCTTTGCTAACCTCTAATTGGCTAAGTAGCAAAAAAAAAAAAAAATCAGTGCTTCTGTGAAATGAGGAACCAAAACAAATATGTCAAAAATGTCCAGTGATCAAAAGATTAAACCAACTCACCAGTTCTTTTCTGAGCCAAGCGAGAGCCTCGTTGATGTTTTCAAAGCCCTTCAGCACACCTGAGGGCTGCTTTTGCTGACTTTTATTCGAGTTTGCTGCAGCCTCTTTGTACGTGACTGCTTGCCCATCCCGCTCCTCCTGAATCTGGAATTTTCCAGTCTGTGAGTCTTTGAAGCTTTCTGCCTCCAGTTGAGCTTTCCACTCCAGATAAGACGGCCTCCTGGTCTCCAATCTTAATTTCTCAGTCAAAGCCTTTAGCGTCAATAGATGGTCATCTTCATGAAGATCTACGCTGCTGCTACATTCTGCCTCCTCCACGATCCGTGGAGACGAAGTGGCGTCCATCATCAGTCTGCTGAATGCAAAAACCCCCCACAAAAAACGTAACTTTTAAAACTGAAACCCTACTATCTTACTTGGTGCTAAAGTTTAATTACAAATGCATTGTTTATTCTGAAAACTAATGGTAACTGTCTGCCACAAGCAGGAGACAAAACTCGGGAGCTAATCACCAGAAAGCCTAACAGCAAGTTAATAACAGCAATAAACTAAGGCTAAGTCCACTGGGGGTATCAGACCACCAGCTTTTTAATCATCTCCAAAGCAACCATACAGAGTCTTCTAATGAACCAGCAATTTTCCACCTCCTGTCCACAATGTTTATTGCATCAACCAGTCTTATCAAGTTACTGGGAACTAGGGCACTATGGCTGATGGCCTTAGAGTCACTTGTGTCTAAAACGTAGGGAACATTATCATCCATGATCCTGAAAGGATTTTAATGCAACGGTGAAACAGTTGAAGCTCAATTATGCTGTGGTCAGAGAAGTAATGAAATCCTACAGGCACATACTGCAAGACAGGAAAAAAAACAAGTCCACAAACTCAAACTAAAGGGTTTGTTATCTAATGTAGGATAACAGAATAACGGCATCATCTCTAATTTCTCCATAGTTTGCTGCTGATCTAGACAAGATGCCTAAAGATCCAATTTAAATATACTCCATTCCTTTATTGTTGTAGACATTTCTGATTTCTCAAAGTCATTTTTCTGAAAATGATAAGGTTCTGTTAATAATTTTTACAAAGTCCAAAGAAATAACTGAAAGCTTGTTGAAAAATAGTGTATGTACAGTATAGGCTGCCTGGTATTTCCAACAAGCATTAAAGCATAAAGTTTTTAGCAATGTAACTCGCTAATTAGGGCTCTGAGTTTGTTAAATTGGTCATATTTAAAACCATTCATTATCTAGGTTTTCAGGGGTTAAATTAACATTAAAAGGCTACATACGTATGCATACTGTGTATGCTGAAATTTAAGCACAATTTTTAAGTTTTATGGCTGCTGACTGAATTGTTTTTGCGATTCAAAGTGCAAAAGTAATCTTCTCTGAACTGCAAATGCACATTTTTGTGAATAGCAGATGAAAAAACAACCTACAGCAAAGGGTTGAGAGGATTCATCAAACACATCAGTCCTTCGATAATCATCAGAGTGGAAAAGGGTATCTTAGGATCAATTCTTTTTTATAGAGCAATCTGCATCCTACAGTCAACACAAGAGAATAGCCTTGCTACAGTCATTTATTTCCAAAGCAAAAATTAAGTGAAGCAAACAATGTGCACCCTCCATTTCGTTGTGGTGCAAACATAAGGGCACAAAAGCAGATCTCCCACTTTTTTTGTTTTCTTGCAAAGTTCCAACAACAAAACTTCAGTCTAGTCACTCTCCTTGTAGGCTATCTAATGATCGACTTGGCTTTCCTGCATGGTATGTTAGACCTCTGACTGTGCAGAGCAGCTGACTTATGAATACCTACAAATGGATTCGCTTCTTAGTCTCGACAAGAATCAATGTGGCCCCTGAGACAACGCTGTTAGAGAAGAGCCCTAAAACAGGAAGCATGCATGTTTGAAACATTTGTAAACGCTGAGTGCAAGCTAATGAGTTGATTAAAATTTTGAACAGGAAGTGCTGAGCAAGGAGAATTTGCAAATAGTCCATAACATGCTCATGCTAACTAACAAAAGGTTTTAAAATACTATGGAAAAAAATCTCTGTAAGAAATTTGTAAGCCACTTTTTTGCAGATTTATTGCAAAATACAATATATGGGTTGGAAAACCCATTGTTATGCCAAATGTCATAATCAACCACAATTCAAAACTCTGGTTTTAAATTTATTTCACCATATTATTAAGCGCACTTTGTGGAAAAACCTGGCAGCTTGTAAAGTTTGGCTCCCGTATCTGGAACATTGCAGTCATGTCTACACAACAAACACTGCCAGAAACCAATCGGGCTTTAGTGTTATGTTTTCCATAACCTGCCTGTTATTATGTTCTCGAGAGGTTTCAAATTTCAGAGCGTATACTCCATGAAAACATGAAAATATTTTCAAAAAACACAAGTCAAGCCAGCTCTTTATGAAGCTCAGTGCTAAGGGCATTGGCAAGCTCAACTGCATATGGTTGTCACGGTATACCATTGTCAGCTTACCACAAGAATGGTATAGCTACCAAATTATACCATTGCTATGACAAAAGCTTCATGAAACTGTCACTTTAATTTATAGATATTGCATGTGTTTTCAGTTTGTGTGAATATATATTCACACAAACTGTGTGTATATATATATATATATATATATATATATATATATATATAATATATATATATATATATATATATATATATATATATAAAAGACACAAATATGCTAATGTTTTATGTTCAGAAATAGTTATTTTTGTTACTTTGAGAAACGGTTTTAGTATAATTCCAGAGGAATGCCAATTAATCAAAAAACAAACAAAAAAACTTGTATTTTGCTTTAACTCTACCAGTATTACACGATGTATGTAAATCAAATCCCATCATATATAATGAAAATATAATCTGACAAATAAGGTACAAGAATGCAAAACATTCAAATTAACAATCATAATTTGCAGTTCATTTTAAAGTTTGGTAATAAACTAATAAAATAGAAAAAAAAAATGATTTCGATTAATTTTTGAACGTCTACTTGACATCTAGTGCGTCAGCAGACATTGCAACATCACCATTCTAAAATCCCAAAAAATATTTCCACAAAAGCAATTTTACATGCGAGCAGCAACTTGACTTTTTTTTTTTTTTTTCGCTTTTCTGCCACACGGTGAGAGATGCAAACGCAAATACGAAAAGTGCAGAAAATTACCTCGTCTGAACGTCCCGAGCAGCCGCACTATCAGCTCGTCATCGCACAAGTGGTTCACGAGCTGCAGAGGTGAAGCCCACCAAAGAACCGCTGCTCTGACTGGAGCAGCTGAATCCGATCGGGGGGAGCGACCGGAAGAGAGGCGGGAATAGTTGCGTCAGACCTGCCGTGGTTGCTCGGAGACGCTCCAGACGCCGCAGCGGGGCTTCCCGCTTTGCGGATGGCATTCCAAGAGCGCCACAGTCAGCCGATGAGCAGGCAAAATTGTAAAGTCATATACCAAAAGCGTATGGATGAACTTTGAAAAAAAAAAAAAAAAAAACAAATAAACAAACAAAACAATGTCAAAATCAAAAGTCATTTTTATTGTTCAGAAATTATTTAAAAAATATGACACAATCTACAAGAATAAACAATTTCACAAAAATGTACCAAATAGCCTATAAATACCTGACGTGACAAATTAAGTAAAATGAAATTAACATTCAAGACAGGTTGAGAGTGCTTATATTTGTGTGCATTGTCGCTGTATAAATGTTGGATTTCTATTTATTTAAATATGAACATCAGTTAGCATCGACAGACCCTGAAAATGCGACAAGATTTAGCCAACGGGCTAATTTTCATCTGTAGTCCCTGACAGGTTTATGCTATAGCGAGATCAAGATCACTTTAAGTACACAAAACGAATAAAGTAGAATAAAAATCCCCCCAAATGAGAATGTTAGTGCTGATTGTCTGTGCCTTTGGAAGCAGTGCAGGATAAAGAAAGCCGTAACACAAGTCATGATGGTTCTGTTACAGCCGGGCATACAACACCAATACTCTAAAAACATATATAGATGCTCATGAGCACTCTAAACATAACGACTGTCTAACTATTTCAAATATATATTTTTATATTTTAACCTCTCAAAAGACTACACAGTCATCTATACAACAGATGTATAATAATAATTATAATAATGATAAAATTAAATAATTTAGTTTAGGAGTCCTCATTCAGATGCGCGAGTGGGACAGAGTGAAGGCCGGCCCACCTCAACCGAACAACTGACCTAAATATCAGGTTGCCAAAATGAAAAAAGTGTACTAAAAATTCATAATGTCAGTTCATGCACAGATTAAAATGAAATCCCGCATGGAACCCTAAAGTTTATCTGTTATATTTCATTATTGACTCCTTGCATTGACATTGTCGGCAGTCAATACAGTGTCGATATATTTGACATGTTGTATTTGAAAACAAATGTTTTGCGCACCATTTAACGAGAAAAAAACAACTCCCCTTCACCATTATTTCAACCTGAGTTATATCCTGGTTAAAGAATGCACTCTCTGGCTACCATTGAAATATTTATTCATAAAGTTAGTTCCTCTATGTCGTCATCAAAGGAGGGGATGGCACGGATGGCAGGTTTACTGTCTGCAACGTTTAAAGCCTTGTCGATGATACTGGAAGACGGTGGAGGTGTGAAGGAACCCGAACCGAAGCGATGGAAACCTTCCTGTCTTGAACGAACCCCGTTGGTTGTTGGTGGGCTAGTAAGTACCTTCATTTTATTGGAAGCACTGAAACTGTCACCAGCAGGAATGGCCTGGGCACCAAATAGCTGCTCCATGAGGCTTGATTTCTTATCTTTCTCTGTTTTCGTTTCCTTCTCCGTTACCATCATTCCAACATTAAAAAGTCCTATGGCTTCTAATGCAGTGTTTTTGTCATCGCTAGGCGGAGCTGGAGGGAAGCCAGGGGAAGCCCGGGATGCTAATTGTCCAAACGAAGGTGCGTACCTTCCGAATGCCAGGTCATCACTGGAGGTATGGGGCCGCAATGCTCTCCTCCCAGCTGTAAAACCTCCATGCTCTGCACTTTGTCTCCTCTTTCCATGTTCTCTGTCTCCAGCCAGCATTGATCCTGTCTCCTCTGACTCAGAGTGGTTGAAAACCGAAAAGTTACGGTTTCTGTCCTCAGGTGGATGTGGAGAAGCAACGTTATTAATTTTCCTGGATTCAGAAACAGATGACCCATTGAACACAGAGTCCTGGGCTTCCTGGTTTTGACGATCTATTTCTCGCATCTTTGCCAACAGCTGCTCTTTCTTTCGACGTGCTTCTTCTGTCGCCTGCTGACTGGACATAGAGTCTTTGTTCCATCGCGCCACCTCCTCCTGGACGTGGCCGCGCTTCCAGTAGTTGTCTTCTTCTTTCTGGCTGAATAGGGAATTTAACTTCTTGCTATCCTCATCCTCCTCCTGTTCTTTCTTCATGTCTGCAGATATAATGTGTCAGGTTAAGATTAAAGCCATAACTCCGTATTTCACATAGATTATGCAAAGATAAAAGCAACATGTGTGGACTGTCCCTGTTCCCGTTTTGTTGCTTTTTACCACTTTTTAGTCTGCTCAGCTTCTCTTTGAGGACATTCAGTTCCTGGTCGAGTCCCTCTCTCCGCTGCATCTCCTGCTCTCTCACCAATTTCTCCTCATGCTTTTCTCTCGTCTTGTGTTCAACGCTGTTTTGAGAAACCTTATCTGACTCTGCCGGTTTATTCACCCTGTCAAGATCCTGGATGACATAATGTCAGAAACAGAATGAAAAATGTGAATTTAACCAAATAACTGCACTCAAACAGTAACCCTGACAGAAAAGTGCAGGATGAACAAGGCACCTTCAAAGACAGGTATTCGCCAGCTGGCGCTCCGCTGTACTCATTGGTGTCATTGATGCCAGGGGGCGGAGAGGGGAACTCCTCACTTGACATTTTGCATTCAGTTTGTACTGCCTTGGTGCTGTAAAGTGCTGTGACTAAACAAGATAAAAACATGTAATAATGGTCATACTTAAAAGGAAATCTCTAATAAAACACATCTGTTTATCTGTCTTTTTACGCAACAATGACTTACGTTTCCGCTTTGCACTACTTTCACCATCTTTCCGTAATGCCGGTTTTACCAAACGGTTGGAGTAAATATTTTTAGCATCTAGCTCTCTTTCCTTTTCCTGATCAAAGAAAAACAAAACTCACAGAGTACAAGATGCAACAAAGCTTTGCTCAAAGTCTCCAGAGCTGCTTAAAAAGCTGAATAAAGCATACTTGTATGCTGTACCTTGAGTTTATTGGTCAGTCGGTCCAGATCCTCCTGCAGAATCTTCACCTCCTCTTGAGAAGTAATAGTCTTCTTCTTCTCTGCAGCAAGCTGCCTCTGAAAACTGTTGTTGCTCAGCTCTATGCTACGCTCCAAATCCTTGAAATACACACACAAAAAATCTTTACACACCGACCTCGCCAAAAGAAAACAAAGGAACCAACGTGACATGACAATCAAACTTTGAACAGTGGCATGAATGTATTAATACATTATGTGCAATTAATTTGCACTACTACTATAGTAATAGAAATCTAACAAAAAATAACCATGGATGAATTTACCTTGACTTTACGTTGTGCCTCTTGGGCCCGAGTTTTCTCTTCTTCAAAGCTACGACTTAGCTCATCTCTGGTCCCCAATTCTTGCTGGTCCACCAGCTTCTTTAGTCGCGTGACGGTGGCTTGGCTCCGATGCAACTGCTCCTCGCTCTCCTTTAATCGCCGTTCAGCTGTCCGTTCCCTCTCTTGTGTGCGCCGCAGTCGCTCCCGTAGCACATGGACCTCATTGGAGTGGCGCGCCAGGAGCTGGGAAATCTCGCTTTCTGTGTCGTCGTAGCGCTGCAGGGCTTTTTCCTGACGCACCTGAAGCTGAAGTTAGAAGACGACAATTTAAAAATGAACGTGCAAATGTAACTTTATGACTACTTATTGACACTGTCACAAGAAGTCTTGTTACACAATAAAATGATTCAGTTAAGAAAAAAAACCTGTTGACTTTGACAGAAAGCAAGTTTACCTGTCTGAGAGTTCTATTTTCCTTCTTCAGTTCATCATTCTGCTGCTTTAGTTCAGCAAGAGAATTGCGCAATTCATTGATCTTCAGTAGGCGGGCTGAAAGCATCCGCTTGGTCACCAGATCCAGGTCTTTAGGCGGTGTAGACTCTTTGCTTTGAGGCCGATTTCCCTTGCGGTGGTGCTGTGTGATGGGAAGGCCTCCAGGTCGCTGTGGCCGGGATGCATTCCAGCGCCCAACCCCACCTGCCAAAAAAAACAAACAGATGGTTGACAACATAAAAGGCCTACTAATTGGATGAAATTTAACGCTGTTCACAAACGCAACGTCTTTGAACTTAGATTTAAAAAATGTCAAAATGGAGCTTGAATAACAGCATTATTATAAATACAATAATTAATTTACAATCAAAACAAGGTATTACTGGCTCTGTTCTAGATGAAGACTGAGATGTTAAAGTGGGGTTATACTGCCATCATGTGGTTGAAAATGAATAAATTGGTATGTGTTATTTACTTAAGTCTTGCAAATGTCTTCATACTCTTCCTTTTTCTCATGTTATAATCACAGACTTCAACAAATTTTATATGGATTTGCTAAAGTCTGATAGGCCAACAAAAAGTAGTGCATTATTGTAAATTGGACAAAAAAAAAAGAAGACTTTTACATCTTTTTTATAATCAAAACTCTGAAACATTTGTTGTATTTTTATTCAGCCTCCTCTACTCTGAAACCTCTACATAAAAGTGAGTGCAACCAATCTGCACATAAATGTCCTCAAGTTAGTAAATCAAATCCACCTACGTGTAATTTAATTTAATTAAAATATGATGGTGTTAAAGTAGTTTTACAATGTACTGTATCTGACAATTAACACAGATACAAAATTGAAAAAATAACTATTTACGTACGTAGTTTGTGGGGTGGACTTCTGGAAATCTGCTTTGCCTGGAACCCTCTTCGTGGCCCTGGAGATGGAGTGAGTGACTGAGAGAAAGGGGAAAGTGAGCGTTCCGACTGTGTAGCGTTCTCATAGTCCTCAGAATATAGTGACCCATCACTTCTCCGACCCTCTCCATCTGAAATCCGGTCTCGATCCGGATCGGATCGGCAGGTTGTTGCTTTTGACCTGCTGTCGACACTTTCAACCATCGAGTCTTCTCTGTGAATTTTTCCCTGATGGTTCTTTCTGTGCCTCTGCCCCGATGATGCTCGAGACTCTTTCTTTGTGCTTCGACGGGACTGGCGACTTAGAACCCGGTTGTCCACAATCGCTTCAGGGACTTTTTCTGATTCTTCCATGCTGTCTGTTTGATAATGTGTGCTGGATCGTAAGAGAGAAAAAAAAACAAGCAAACAGAGTTTTGTTAGAAATACTTTAACTATAGCAATCTTTGTTAAAAATAGCAGTGGAAAACTAACCTTAATGTTTGTATTACAATACCAAATTATGCACTCTTACATTTAGCTAAAGTTCATAATAAGCACAGCCAGGCCAACTGGTTTCACTGGTGTTTTCAGTATTATGTGTCTTGGTCACTAAGCAACAATACACATGAGATTAAAGTTTCCATGAGACTGTATTAAGCTTAAGGATAAACATCACTATGTTTGGAGCAAATAATACTCTACTACCCCCATCTCCCCAGTGAGTTAATTAAGAGGTAAATATTAATTTCTGGAAGCACTTGCATGCAGTAATTTAGACAAAACAAGGTAGACTTAAAAAATAGATACATTTTAGGCCATTAAGTCACATTATTTTATTGATATCAAATGTAGTTAAACAATCTAACAATTTTCTATTTTCCCTCTATTTTTTTTAATAGTGAGACCAGCATCAACTACTATCTTATTTCAGACTAGAGAATAAAATAAAATATAATAGAATAACATTTTGTTGATCCCATAGCAAAAAATATTGTGTAACAACAGCAAAGCGGCCATAAAGGAAAACGATAGATACAAAAATGAATAAGAATATTAGGTGAAATGCTCTAAAGCAGAAACAAAAACAGAGAGAAAAAAACATATGCAGTAATGAATAAATAAATAGAAAAATAAATTTTAAACTATATAACTGTAGAATAAGTGGAATAAAGTGTACCTGTACAAACTGTGTATTTTAAAATTCTGCTAACGAGGCTATATAAACAAGAAAAAAGGGACAACACCAAAATACTTGATGAATGTAAACATTGTTTTCATTTAGATTCATTTAGGTTAATGAGCCACAGGCCATTTTATCCAGCACAAACCCCAAAGCACTACTAAATGCAATATTTGTCATACTTTTAAATTTCAAGTACGTACATTTACACTTCAAGTGTCAATATCTGGAAGTGTCAAAAGATATTGACATTTCAAGTGACATATTTCATTTGCCTTTAATAAAAGCAAATAAGATCGCCTTTATTAAAGTTCAGACTTTATAGAGAGAATCCATTGAATTTTTGTCTGAATATTGTGAGGTCCTTAGAAAAATTGATCAAAATTGATTCTGCAAAGATAAATGGCTCTCTGCATTTATAACTGCTTGACATGTACCACTTAATACTGTGTGCCTAGGAAAACTAATCACTGTTAATTAAATGTAAAGGTTATGCACTCCTCCAGTTCTTTAGAAGCACATAGACGTATCTATGGCAACATGCAAACATAAATAGAGGAGATGTTTACAACATGAACCACGGGCCATATTATCCAGCAGATTTTCTGATGATGAACCATGTTTATACACTATGCAATATAATAGATATGAAATCACTCTGGAGTCAATATTCTTTAGTAACAATGAGATTTTACACTCACCCCATGTGTCACATCCAGGCCATTTCTGCTGTTTTTAGCCTCTTCTTTTCATTTTTAACAACCATTATACTGGCCGGTCTTTTTATTCCCTTTTTGTGTTTTGTGTTTTGTGTTAAAAGTTGGTCCAACTGAGCTCTGTCAAAACAAATTGAAAGGCATCATCTTATACACAACAGGAATTTTGTACAGTTCTTTGTGACACCAAATTATCGGATTATTGCAGTTTGAGTGATTAGCAGGTGGACTGTTGACAGAATCCATGCCAAGTAATAGTAACTAAACAAATTTTTCTCTGGAATTGAAAGGGCCTTCTAATAAGAAAGGCATAATAAATCAAATAAAACACATTTACATAAAGTAAAAATAACACATTATAGGCAACAGAACATTAGTAAACCTGTTTAGAGAGCTAATAGTGCTTGTTGGGGCAGAGCTGCTCCTTGTAGTGGCCATAAACAAATACACCTATTTTCAACAGGTAGGTGAAAACTGAGGGCTGCGTTTAGTGCTGTGATGCTAGTAGTACCCACCTGTATGTTGCTCGTTTATTTCAGCTACTTCTCAACTGTTTCGCTCCGATCAAACTTCATAACTGGGACCAGATTCATCGTCGATTCAAACCGCTAATGTTAGCTAGTAGTAGCAAGCTACTTCGAGCTTTAGCCGACTTATCCGCTATTAAAACCGAAAAAAATACTCTGTCCTCTTTCTCAGAAACTACACTGTAATGACTGGTCGTTTAAATATATCTCCCTTTAATCACCCGCGTGAACACAGCGACAGCATAAACGCCAAACCGTAACCTTTATCTTTCAATCCCCATGATTCAGTGCAACCGCTGACGCTGTGCCATGGCAACCGCAGCAATTGTTGCAATACCTTTAGTCACCAGAGAGGCGCTGTTGTTCTTCCACCGAGTGGCTCTCACAAGTTTTAGTTGATGGAAAAATCAGACCACGGAATAACGCTTCAATCCCTTTTTTTTAAATGTTGTTCGTGGAGTTGTTTTTAGAATGTGGGTGGAAGCTGGACTACACGAAGAGAACTCGTACATGCACAGGGAGAATGTATGCAGGTCCCCAGGCGAAGGACCTGCATAAATAGATTTATACAGGCTGGGATTTATACCCTACACAAGAGTCCAGTTTCTAGTTTCTCATCAGAAACCAGTATGAAAAACAAACCCGACCAAAGGAAATGTGACTTCAGATTCATTTTCATTTTGTGTTTGAAATTAATAAACAAAACACCTGGTAAAGAAAAACTAAGAATTTCATCATGTTTGACTATTATCAAAGGATACTATGTCTGTAGGAAGCACTGTCTCTTCTGTAGCTGCAAATATTGGTTTTTCACCATAAAAACACATATAGATTTACATGAACAAATAGAGTAAGCAGATATTAGATATTTTTTGGATAAATAGTATTTAAAGAACGAATTGTCAGATTGTGTTGCACTTTGAGTACGACGTAGGAAACAGTAGCTACTGAGTTATTTGCTGTCAAATGCTGAAGTGTAAGGGGTCAATGAGGAAAAATTGGTTGGTTTTATATCGCTCTTTGTTGTCCTTTTGATTTTGGCTTTGTATTATTTTAAAATAAATATAAAATCAAATGTCATTTTTTTATCAAGTTTTGATCAACTGTGTTGCTTGTACTCCTGTTAAATATTTTGTGTGTGGGTTTTTATTTTATTTAGTAGATCAATTGACCACTTTTGGTTGGTTATTTCTGTGGCAATGGATGTAAACATATTAAGCAGTGCATCACATTTCAAACAGAGCAGAAACCTTCCTGGAGAACACAACTTTCCCCTCTGCCTTACCTGATAAACTGGGTTAAGTTACTTAACATACTCAAAAACAAACCGGAATCATCGGCTTGCTTTCAGAATAAATTTAAGCTTCTCAAAAAAAATGTTTAATATTTTTGAGGAAATACATTGTATCACTTCACACAAGCATTTCAGCAACTACATGAAGTGTTCCCAGTTTTAAAAAAAAGAAACATATCATCTCATGACATCCACGTGGCCCTTTCGCTCCGGGATTTTGTTTTGAAAGATGGGGCGGAAGTGTAAAGTTCAGCTTGCTCTACGTTGCATGTGTTCAAAGAGCGTCACTGGCTGCTTTATTATCATGGCTCAGTTTAAATATCGGTGCAGCGTGTTCTTTCTCTGCTGAAGCACACTGCGCCTCGCCTGTTTTCAACTTGTTGTTTTATTTGTCATTTTACGAGCGGAATAAAATTGTATAAGTTACAGAAAAACGTCGCTCGGTGACAACAAACCATTAGTCGACTGGTGGCGATAATTTGGGATTATGGTCATCAAGGTTTACGTCGCTTCCTCAAGTGGCTCTATCGCGGTGAGTGTTTGCAAAATGCGTGATGAAACTTGCTGACAGGTGATTAAATAAACAGGGCTTTTGCAAATCTTAAAACGTTTCGTTGATACCTATGTGATGAATTATGTAACTGATAATGAGCGCCAATTGGTGGCCAAGTAGTGAAAGTAGACAGCGTTATTCTAACAGGTGAGATAATCTCTTATATAATAATAATAATAATAAAAATATCAATAGTATAGCAGTAGGCTAATAATAATAATAATTAAACACAACTTGCTGTTTTTATCTCAAAGTTAAAACAAGTCTGTACACTAGCACAAAATTACATCTCCAAATCAGGGAGTACAAAAGGAAAACATTACTTTATTTAAAGTGTGACGTCAAAAGCATATGCTCCCATATGGTCATGTTTTGATACTTCTTTTTGCCCTTAATAAATTAAATCATAAATTTGGGAGTTGATCCTTGTTCTTAATCAGGATACTTTCTGATTTAAAAAAAAAAAAGAACTTGGAACAAAAAAGTAAAGACATTGAACTTCTAAAGAGGTGCACACGAGATTTAAGAGAGAAAATGAGAATTAAGGTGTGTTGCTTTGTTGTAAGCATGGTCAAGATTGTGAAATCCCCTTTTTTCTCATCAATCCTTTTATCTTCAGCATTAGTCATATTCCTATGTCTGGTTCTCCACCTTTTGATCCATAAAGGCTTTTTAATGCTGACCTTCTACGAAATGTTCTTTTCAACCCGTTTATTTCCCCATGTAATTCTTTTAGACACCAGCAGTGTCTGCTGCTCCATCTCGGATGAAATCTAACCACTTTAACTGACTTATATTATCTTCTTTTAAAGGTGCACAAATGCATTTTAATACGTAATACCACAAGCTCGCAGTACTTTCTAATATCTTGCTGAAAATGTAAATCATTCTATATTTTGGATTTGAACTTGGAGAAAAGATTAAAAAAAAAATAAACAGTTTGATGCATTTCAGTGGTATGGGGTGCCTTAAATTTTCTAAACCATAATGATTTTGCAATGGTACACAAACAGGGCACCAAATGTAGCTCTTGTGTTGTAGCCACTTGGCAAACAACCAACACATCTTTTTAAAATAGGGCAGAACTGATATGAGTGTTAGTAGAAAAATGATCAAATGGCTCTCCTACATGAATGCTCAAAGAGTTAGGTAATGGCACAGATGAGTAATATATTTATTTTATCATGCTCAGCTCCTCAAAAAGGGCCTCTACAATCTGTGAATGTTTACAAAAGAGTTATTTTGAATCTAATCACACTTACATTCAAAGCTCAGAGTCTCTGTTTTTTTCTTTTCTTTTTTGGTCTCACACATTTTCATGTACGCTCAAGTAACTCCACCATTTGGGTCAGCTAGTGCAAGGCAGAGCTCATGTGAGTGTTATTCGTTCTGAAAGGTTTTGATTTAATTTGATGAATAAAGAAGAAACACTGAGGATGGGTCAATCAGTTGGTGTAAAGTGAAGACTGTTCTTGAAGGGCAGTAAAAGAAAGTCAGGAAATCTGGAAAACACAAATACAAAAGTGCAAAAAAACCCAAAAACATACAAGCACAGAGAAAATAGGTTATAAAAGGGTCTAAGTTTGACCCCAGAGTAGCATAATCAGTTTAACACAAGAAGATTAATAGGGTGGAAATAATCAGCAGAGAATAGATCATATGCAAATTAGGTCATCATCTTCTATTCACTACAAAGATCTGTTGAGTCCAATCAAAAATGTATTTTATTGATATGAATGAAGGCTCCGTGGACATGCAAAAAATTCTGGTCGAATAACTAGAAATTGTTTATATGGGGAATCCATTGAGTGGACAACTATTAATTGCTCAGTCTGTAAATTTGTTCTAGTGTCAAAAGACCAATACTGAACTTATAAACATATACCCAAAGCTACAAAGAAATTACTTTGATCCAAGAATTATGAATTTTTGTTGCCCAATTGAGAATATTTGGCAATATTTCAAAATTGTCATTTACAGAGACTCTCGATCCAGTCTTACTAAGCTGGAGAAGGATGAGCAGAAATGTAGTCTCTAGTTTAGCAAAGTAAGCTTGAGCTGCTGGTTCTACAATTGTAATGTATGCCTTCAATCCAAATTACATACATGGATTTGTTTTTTGTTTTAGGTTAGAAAACTTGAACATAAATAGAGGCATGAGTCCTTTTGGCATGACACTGTTTTTAATTGGTAGTTTTCTTTTAGCAGTCAGTGAATAAAATGTAATTTTTCTTTAATCACTTAGCTAGTCGATTTAAAAGGAAAATCTCTAAGAATTTTTATACCAGTATGTGGTCATTTTTGTGTTTGTATCCTGTTGTCTATGTATATATTACAATATATTCGATAATCCCAAACAAAAAAGGTTAATTCATCCACTGATACTATTGCTGACAGTAATCAGGAGCACTTTATTCATTCAGTAGAGCTGTCCTACATTTCACCTATCATTTTAACACTGCGATCTTCTAACACTGGTTCTCCATGAAGCTCTAACCTTTGGCCAGATGGACTCCAGTGGTCCAGATATAACACAGTTTTGTTTTGTTTTGGGTTTTTTTCCTACCAGACAAAGAACGTTTAAGAGATAACAGATTATTTGTAGTCTGTCTATAACTGACCACAGAGAACAATCCCTTATTGTCTTTAAGCAAGAACAAAAGCCCCTTTGTGATTCTTACCAATTCTAAAATAGCATGTAAATTCCCACATACATTATGATGCATGCTGCCACACAAATGTACCGATTTGTCATTTAATTTTCAACAAATATAGTCATGCATATTTGTCTCAAAATTTGTTAGGCTTTATGCATGAATGTATTCTCAAACAGTTTCATTTGTTCTTTAAAGTATATACTATCTTGGTAAAAAGAAAACACTTCTCTCCCACCCGCCCCAGTTTAACCATGTTAGGTATAGAAAGATAATTTTAAAAAAATCTAAATCTAAGTGAATATAGAGGGATTTTGCCTCTATATTCTATGATTGAATAGCTTGTAGAACCATGTTCGGCAGAAGTCTATCAGTTTCTCACATCCCTTTGGACAAAAGTCTTTTTTTCAAAATTTTCTGGAATCGAATAAGGTTAATATGCCTTAACTTCTGTTTCGTGGAACCTTAGTTAATCAGGAATTTAAAACATGAGATTTTTTCTTACAGCTCCTGCACAAAAAACCTGAACAAACAAGACTAAGCACTCCCAATGTGCTGTTTTAATTAATACAATAATATTCTGTGTTGGGTACAAATGAACATTTCAGAGTCGAGATTTTTTTGGGAGGAATGCAGTTCAGTTTCTTTAACAAATTCAGCTCAGGCGTTTTCAGGGTTTTCATCATGGACTGTCTAATTCAGGTCTGTAAATGAGCTAATTGAGCCCGCTCTACGTTAATATGTAGTAATATGTAGAAATATGGAAAATTGTCTTTGGGTGACCAAAACAAGAGCTCCAAATCCAAATTGGAACACAATGAATCACTTTAGACTTAACGGAAAATGTGTAATAAAAGCTTGACAAGATACTGGAAATGACTAAAAGAATCATAAGTGAAGAGAAAAAAAAAGACAATTCCAGAAAAAAAAAACATGTTTGCAGTGATTGCCCTGTGAGCCTATATTGTGTGTGATGGATGTTTCAAGTGTGGGAGGTTTCTTTCCCTCTAAATATATCTTTGAATGTTTCTTTCCCACAAAGTTAACAAATGCTGTCATGCATCCTGAGAGGTGCACAGTCTCCCAGAGGTCAGCCCCATAGAGAACAGCTGTATCCACTCCAGATCCCAGCTGTCTCTTCTCCTCTGAGCATTACTCTGTCGCGTTTGTTTCGGTTGTTTCAGGGGGCTTGTAAAACACTGTTTCACTGAAGTTTGTCAGTCAGACACATCATTCTGTACAATCCAGTTATGTCTGAAACAGATATATTAACAAAATCAAATATGTTTAAATCCTATCCTAAACTGCATGCCTTTAGCTAATTGCTGTGTGGAGTAAGAAGAGATTCATGCCAAGCTTAAAGGATTTCTGGTCTGAGATTCCAAACCTATACCTCTCCATAAATTAATAATAGTTCTTAATTGAGTCCGTATGATGTTAATGAGCTTCAAGTGTAGACATCAAGCATGTGTTTCTTACCAAGTGTGAGCCATGAGGTAAACTTTCAGTGGGCTGAGAGGCAGAATTGTAATTTCTTTCATTCTTGTGTGTTGTTTATGAGGTTATAAAATAGTGTATTGTGTTTCTTGTAATGGCTCCGGTACTGGTTTTATGAAGTTCTGTGTCTATATTTTAGGTGCTTTTAAAAGCGAATCATTTAGCTTTCCTCTTTTGACCCATCTAGGTAAAGAAACATCAGCAAGCAGTTGTGGGTTTCCTGGAAGCAAATCGAATTAACTTCCAGGAAGTAGACATTACCATGCTGGAGGAGCAGAGGCTCTGGATGTACCGCAATATCCCCAAGGAAAAGAAACCAGAGAAAGGCAACCCACTGCCTCCACAGATCTTCAATGAGGATCGCTACTGTGGTGTAAGATAAATATCAGTTTTTATATCTTGATAATCACCACAGTATCAGCAGTTCTTCAAACTTTCAAGTTTTTGTGAGGTGAAGTTTAACCACATATCTTTTTCTCTTTTTGCAGAGCAATTCCATATGTTGTGTTACTCCTGAATATTACTTAGTGAATTTGAACACAAAACATAACAATCAGATTTAAAAGATAAAATATGTGTTTCTCAACGTTTTATGAACTGATGTGTTTTTAACTGCTGCATTTATGTATAAAAACAGCTACGACACAGGTGTGTGTTTGTGCAATTCTGTGTAAGTTTAAAAGGCATACATCAAATGTTTAACTTTCTAATTTTGCGCGGGCTTATTTATTTATTTCCATTGATTTTAACATTTCCACTGTTAAAATTACAGAACAAATATACGGTTCTATATAAAAAGTGTTTGCTTCCCTACAGATTTCTTTGTTGTTGTTTTTTGCTTTTTTGCCGAGCTTGAACTGTGTTGTCTTCTTGTCCCTCATGTTTCTTCCCTTCAAATCAAGAGTCCTTTTGGCTTACATGCTTTAGACAAACTAATTCAAATGGTGAGATTATTTCACATTCACAAATGTGTTGCCAATAAGAGGCCACACACGTATTCATCTTTATTCTGATTCACGTATCTTTCCTCAATCTGTTTCCTGTTTGCATCTGTCTTTGCATTGCCATATCACAGATTTTTTTTCTTTGAAATGTAGTGATGTTTGCCCTTTATGGTTACCTATGTTAGTGACTGAGATGGAGCACTCGGATATGTTCTCATCTAAGATCGCATGCAACTCTGTAATCCCCTCATAATCCAGTTTCATGGATGGGGCGGATTATCAGCTCTGCCTGCCATCACTGTCGCTTGCTAAGGTAACCCAACATTACTCTGTGGTGGCTTCTGGGTAAATTATATTTTAATAAATGCGTGAGGAAGTCATCCTTACGGAGAACCAAACGAACATCTGTCAACATTTAGAAAAATCTATTTACCTTTCACTAAATAACATTTTGTCCTTCCATCTCAGGACTACGAAGATTTCTTTCAGTCGAAGGAGAACAACACTGTGTTTGCATTCCTTGGACTCAGTTCTCAACTGAGTAAGACAGTGAGTGTATGTATGTTCATATATAATGAAATACATTGTCTCTGTGGTGTACTGTAAATTACTCAGTGTACTGAGAAATCTACTTCTTCAATTAGTATATGCTCTCTTTCACAACATTGCTTGATCAGCAGCTCATGCCCCCGCCCCCAATTTAGTTTCTGGTTAAACTGGTGAATCACCTGTTGGCATTTCATAGGCATCAGCTTTTTCTTCTATTGTTAGTGGGAGAGGAGGGAAAAGGAAAAAGCAGTAGTACAAATTTCAACAAATCACGAGGTTAAGGGCTCGTCTCACATTTCATTTATATTTTTGACTACATTTATATTTATGTTATATGCTCTCTAAAGATGTTTAGATGCACAACTTCACAACACAACTTTTGTACTTGAAAAGTGGTCTTTAATTATGAAATTGTTTGCTGTTATTATTTTTTTCAAGACAAACATGTTAGCTAAACAATGGCTATCTGAAAATAATGTTGAGATTTTTTGATTTTTTTTCTTTTTTTCCCCCCCAGGATTTAGTGTGCTAAATAGATCAAGCTCATCGTTACACATGCATAACTTCCTGCATTGCATCACCTCCTTTCTCGTGACAACTCCAGAGTTTTGCCAAACTTCAGCCATAGTGAATGCCACCTCGCTGAACCATTCACCAGATCTGAAAAGGGCCCAACGCTGCCTCTACAGAGATGAAATCATGGAGGACTAACTTTGCCTGGGCTCCATTTGGATTTGGTTTTGTTACTTAACACGGCGTGTCAGCAAACGATGCTTGTAGCACACATTCCTGCTAACTCGAGAACCACGTAGCAGCATTTTCATCAGTGGCCTTTTAAAAGTGTCAGTGCAATGGATGGAGGTAAATGTTTAGGTGCTTCACTGTAGGACAGTTTTTGTTTACACCCTTATTTAAGTGAGCAAGCATCTGTGTACATACTTTCTGCTAGAGTCTGTATCTGTCAGCAGCTGCTGATGAAGGCTGGTTGGATGAAGGGAGGACTTAATGCAGCCTAAAACAAACCAGGAGTTCGCCTGGGAGCCTGACTGTGTCTGTTATGACCAAATGCTAAAAAAAAAAAAAAAAATTCTTACAAGCTGAAAAGCTTTACTAAATGTCAGAATTAAACAATTTGTAGCTACCTGTATCTAGTTAAACAGTGCTGTTTAAAGATTTCATGTTTATTTGTTTCCTGTGCATGCAGTCGGTCTCGTGGGATGATTTAAATTTGGGACATTTTGGCCTTCCCATGCAGTATCTGGGTCTATTTCTTGGACTCTTCCATTCTATTTAGGCTGCATTTTGTTGCAGATGAAGACAAACAAAGGCTGTATGGATCATTTTAATCCTCGGATTAGGTGCTCCAGTTGTTTCGACAGCTTGGGTTTCCCCTTGTCTCTACACTGCCAAATGTCAAAGCAAACATGCACTCCACTGTGGACAGACTTCCATATTTGTGCTGTATATGTCATGAAATACAAGTTTAACTTTTCTTATCTTTCAGTCATAAGTTTGCACTTGTTCTCCAATCCCTGTTAAACTGTTCAGGTTTGATATTATCTCAGCATCATGGATGAACACTTGTATTATTTTCTCAACTCAAATGTAGCATTACAGGCAAAATTTTATGCAAAAATATTCCCAATTTTGCTGACATGTCTCCTTTGTTGTTGCATCATGAAATGACCTTGCATTTTTTTGTTTTAATAGTGATCTACAGGTTCACTGTATCACATATAATACTGTGCTACTCTTCCTGTTTTGCTGTCTTTTTTTTAAATTAGGGCTTTTGTTTCTGCTTGTAATAAGATCATAAGAATTGTACTCAATCACATTTTACTGTGAGGATTATTTTATTTTGCATAAATGCAGATTACAGTATAATTGCTTTATTGTCAAGTGCATTTTATTTTTTACACTAGCTTTCCTTTTACTATTTTAAGATGTTTTTACTCTACTGTAAAATATAGTAAACTAATAATAATAACAATAATAAAATGAATCAGTTGTAAGAGATCAGCACACCATGGAAAAACCTAAGTGTGGCTGTTTTACTAGAGCACCACATATACTGCATCACAAAATTGTCAAATGGAAAGATAAAAAAGCACTAATTTAAATGTATTAGGACTGAACAAAAGTTCCACATAAGAGTGAAATGGAAGGAGTATAATTGCTTTTAAGTTGTGAAGTTATTTGTGATTAATGTAATGACATACATTAATCAATGTAAATCAAATGGAGTTTTTTTGTTGTTATTTACAATCTGGTATTACTTTGTCAGAAATGTGTATGTGGCTCCTTTATGGCCCTGAAGAGTAAAACAAAACCGGAAGTAAAAACTGATCCTGGGAAAAAGGAAAAAAAAAAAAAGATTATAAATAACGGCAATAAAGCCCGAACTTCTCTGCAGCCAAATCCCCTGTTTGCTGCTCTCCTCTGAGTAAACCTAATGAAGTTAACCATGGAGCAAATGAAATGTTCTTTTTTTTTACTTTCAGATTCCAAGATAGTTTTGGATCATCATAATTACAATTAAAGTGTTCATTAAATGAATTTTCCTAACATGTTTTTGTCTTTGGGGATTCTGCCTAAATAAATAATGGGCTAAACTTAAGTGCATGTAAACACAATGTTAAAAACAATTGTTTTATGTTACTGGACATGATCATGACAGTTTAGCTTTTTTTTTCAGGTTCTACAATGAACATAATCAGAAAATCTGCAAAACACGCAACAGATTCTAAACCTATATGTCGGTAACAGCCCTGGTTGTCAGTAATCTAAAGCAGCTTCTGTTACTACTTGTTCACATTAATAATCCCAGTTATGTGTGCTGGAAGTTCAGAATGAAAATATTGGAAGTCCCGAAAACAAACAAAGCACAAAAACTTGATAAATCCTTTCTTGATCTCAAATTACAGAGGCTATAGTCTCTGATCTTCTCTTGAAAGAGTCAGTTTCAGTCATTTCCTGTAAATTCTTTCCTTTCACCTTCCTTGACCATCAGTCATCCTGTTTGTAATGTGAGCACTCTGTTTGTCAGGCAGAGTGCCTCTTTGCATGAGACGTGATGCAATGTAATTTCCCACCAGGGCCTGATTTGTATCTCAGAGTTTGTAATGATTTACTAGAACATCAATATGTGCTCAGCCTGTTTTCCTTTCCAAGCGTCACTCTTCTGTATTTTTGTCAATGACAGAGAAAACTAACCAAAGGGTGAAAAACATAGATTCATTAAGTCTCATATTGTTGTGATGTCTTTCAGGCAGTTAAGAGTCTTTGTGTGTTTTCTTATCCTATGCATATTTATTGGTGATCTAAATAATCAGCGTGTGCGTGTGAATTTCTAATTTAGTCGAGCACCAATGAAAAATCAGCTTTAATGGCTCATAATATTAAAAATATGACCTTTCACTATTTACAAAGTAGCAAATATTTCTTATTCTGTCTTTTATTTACTTGGCATAATATAACACTGGAAATATTAGTCAAAATTTACTGAATATTTATTAAGAAGCACAACCTTTCATTAAGAAATTCCAAATTCTTTTTCACAAAAATCTGTTCTCTTTCTTTTGCAGAATCTTTCTTTTCCTTAAATCTTGATGAGTACATCTCACAACAACAAAATTTTTCACTTTAAAATTATATTTTTTATTACGACTGGCTAAAAAGACATAAAGGGGCTCACTAAGACTTTCCTTCTTCACCCTCTTTCTTCTAAAAGACATTTAGCAGCAAGAGGTGATTTTGTTTTTAGCAGTTATAACTTTTATGATTTAGAAGAGATTATATATTCCCTTAATGAGATATAAGTCTTGTAATAGGGATTTTTGCACCTAATTATAATTACAAAGTTTTCTCGAGATGCTGCTCGTGAATTTATTTGGCATACTAGCATTGTTAATGGTTGCAGTAAAGGCACTTTGTCCTCAAAATACCACCTTTTGTTGTACTTCCACAACATAAGCTTATGCAGAAATCTTCTTTTTCATTCGGCTTTTCTCTTTGAGGGTTGCCACAGTGAGTCATCTGTCTCACTCTGCCTGACAAGAAGATGCCTTCTGCATCTTCTTCTCTCACACCGATGTCCAGCTACCTTGTGGATGCTGATGCAGAAATATAAACATAAAAACAGAAACATATAAATTGTCATTTTTCAGAACTTTTGTCAATGTCGCAGTTACTTTGAATCTTTATGTTTATTGAACTGACAAATATGACCAAGTTTAGGTGAGTGGCTATGCTCTTTCAGTTCTTTTTTCTTAATTTTCATCATTTTGAAGAGAAATCATCATCTGATCAGTTTTACAGCGGGGGCCAATCATTATGTCCCCCTCGTTCATTGCTGTCAATTGCGTATTTGTGAAACTAATTTACTATCATTTGCATGGTAGCTAAATTAATCTACTATTCACAAGCAAATCAGTAATTAGACATGAAGAATCGAGTGCATTTTTTGAAATGCCTGTAAGAGTGTACACTATGAAAACAGTAATAAGAAGAAGTTGTGCAGATTCTCAGCAAAGGAAATTGTGATGCGTTAAAACAGCCGAAGTCAGTTGACCCAAAATGCTGAATAGACAAATATACTTTTGCAATACATTTGAGCACAAATTGCCCCCTTCCTTCACCCTCCACACACCCTGCCACCATGATCTATCCTGCCTGAAATTTTAACTAGATGTTTAATCTAATTTTACACATCTTTTGGTCATTAAACTGTATGTAGTCTATTTGTCAAAGATAGAACATAGCCAGTCTCAGAACATAGAACTGTTTCTTGCACAGTACTACTATTTGTCAATAGGTGAGGATCAGTGTTATATGCCATATATTTGTGCTAAATCACAAATATTTTTAATTCTATTGTCACTTTCCTGTCACCTTGCAGTCAAGCATCAATTTGTGTTGGTCTACTAAAAATGACAACTGTAAAGTAGTGTTTTGTATTGTCAAGGTACAGCTTTGTTACACTTCGCAGTGCCGTTTTGCTTTGCTGAACATTTTGGAAGAAAAATTTGGTTCGTTTAAGGAAATGAATAAATGCGCTGATCACAGAGAAGCAGAATTTCATAATAGGAAATGTTTTGCATACATGGTTGGAGTGTTATGAAAGATGGTGGGCAGGAGCTAGTTCCTCAAGTGCTTGTGGAAGTGAGGAGCTGCTTGAAGTCAGGTTTTCATTATTTTTTTATTCTTGTTGAAAGAGAGGCTGCATCAAGCCTGCAAGGTAAGATAACTTTTTTTTTAAAAAAACAGTCACATTATAATTTATTTAGAAAACAAACAAAAACACAAACAAATTTACTTTCAAAGTTTTACTTTTCAACATTGAAGCTCAAAATCATCCATACATTTGCTAAGGAGTAATCCAAATTTTTACTTATTTATGTGAAAGTCTAAATCATCAAAATGTTCAGTGTACTTTTTCCTCAATGGAGATCAGTGAATGTGCATGTTTTACAAACTGGTTTCTCACACAGAATAACACATTAGAGTTAACAAAGTCAACAATTTTCACAAAATTTGTAGAAATGAAAAAAAGTGTTAAATAGTTGGAACATATAAAAATGATAAGACAGGAATAATTTAAGGCTTGACATTTGTTCTCAAACACGCTTCCTTTTGATGTTGGATGTTTTCTCTGAATCTCTTGACACATTATTTCATCCTGTCTACAAAAAACAAATAAATAAAAAAGCTAATATGTTACACATCTGCTTTCTAAAAGTAATGCATATTAGAAGGTGTTCTGTTCACGTCGAGTGTTAAATCATTTTCTTATGTGTGGTGTAAAAGCAAAATAAAATCCCCTGTCATGTTCCATCTTTAATGATTGATCAAAATGTCAACATGTTAGAGTTTGCACTTCAAGTCCACACAGTCCATTTTATTCATAGGGATCCGCATGGCGCGCACATCCTACAACATAAACACATTTTTCGTTTTTTTATTAATTTCTAAATAGTGGGGGAAAATATTTGGACGTTCAGGTAAGAAGCAAGCATGTTTTATCCTTTTGAGAAATGAGTAGTAATGATACAGTATCCAAAAGGCTCTTATTTCATTCAAAAATTTGTCACATGTCAACATCATTGTAGAGGGAACAAGAGCTTCCTCTTTTTCACTTACATTTTCTGTACCTTTTGCAGAATTTGTCCTTCTCTGAAGACATAATATGGAAAGTCAGCATTTTCGTTTCCTTTTAATTGCAGGTGAGATTTTATTTTTCTAGACATATTTTCAGTTCAACTTTGGTGAAATGGTTTCCCTCACAACTACATCAGCAAAGCGTTTCTTGCTCCCAAGTGAAATTTTGACAGATTTCACTTGGGAGCATGGCATAAGATACTAACTTTGTTTTAAAACAGATACCATTTAAATTTTGCATCTCTCTGATGTTGTCATAACATGACATATAGTTTAATTATTTAAACTATATGTTATTGCCCTTCAGGTCTGCTGAGCTTACCTTTACTTACAGGTCAGTAAATTCCAAGCACTTAGTTGGATATCTATGTCCATCTCATTAAACCGGCCTCTTGGCTGTCTTTGTCCATTGTTTTTGTTTTTTGTTATTTAAAAAACGTTGGTTACATTTCATTTCCAGAATGTGATAAAGTTAGGATTGTCGGGCCTTCACGTTGCGCTGGCAGAGTGGAGATCTACCATGACGACGTCTGGGGAACCGTGTGTGATGATCACTGGAGCATTACTAATGCTGAGGTGGTATGCCGAGAGTTAAATTGTGGCGTGGTTATGGAGGCCAAGAAAGGTGCTTTCTTTGGAGAAGGCTCAAATGAGATCTGGTTGGATGACGTGCAGTGCAATGGGAAAGAGACCTCCATTATCAAGTGCCAGCACAAGCATTTTGGGATTAATAATTGTGGGCATAGTGAAGATGCTGGAGTTGTATGCTCTGGTAAGTTTGATATTATTCACTATACTTGTGTTGGATCATACATTTAATTAGAGCCCATACTTATTATCCGGGAAAATAAATGTCTGCTTTTTAAAACCAGAGTTAAGCTAAATACGTTTGTGAAATGTGGGGAAATGTTACAAGCTTATAATCGTAAATGTACTTTCAGTATTTAAGTTCACTTTGAACTTAGACGAGTTCAAAGTGAACAAGGTCAAAAATCAAACCAGTGGAACTATGCTTATCAGCAGACGCACTATCTGGGTAAAGATATGTTGTTCAGGTTTGTTGAAGCATGGACCCTGATCTTCTACCTTGTATTACAAATCTAGACTTTTAGATATTTAGAAACTTACTGAATTTAAACCAAATAACCAGGGAAAATCTTCCATGGTCCCAACAGCCCACATTGCTGCTGTGTGGCAAGATTTGCACACATGATGAAATGTCTTTCATCATCAAGACATTTCTTAATCCAACCTCAACAGAGGCATTTCTTTCTCCACCAAATTTACCAGGGGAATCAGAGTGGCACAAGTGTTGTATAGAACAAAACAATGCAACAAAAATTGTATCACTATTATCAGTGTTTAATGTTTTTCATATACATATTTGGGTGTATTATGCATATTCTGTGAGTTGTGATGACTGTGCACAGTATTTTAATGACTTGAGATAAAAGTGCTAATCTTAAAAAAAATATTAATTTAGTTGTACTTTATTTTTTCTTAAAATAATATGCACCCTTTTTTCACTTATTTGGTTCTGATCCTTGTTGAGGCTCTTATGAAACATGACAGATTAGGATCTCTCACTAAACAAAAATAACAATAAGTGACCTATTTCAGGTATTTGTTGGAGTAAATTGACACACCTTGCAGTAAACTGAAAGTACATTTGCAGAGTGCTTCTTCTTGCACTGCAAAATGGAAAATAGGTAAAAATTGACATTTACTCCAAAGCCTTTTATGATTAAATTGTTATTGGTTTTTGTTGGCTTTATTTTATTGCCTTTGAATTGAGCAGTGGATGAGATTCTTTGCCCTCCTTCAAGCTTTTCTATTATGTTATTCTGATCACTGTCTGTTGCTTTAGAACATGTTCGGATTCTCAATGGAACCAGTCGTTGCAATGGCAGAGTGGAGCTCTTCCAAAATGGCCAGTGGAAACGAGTGTGCAGCAGTGACTGGGGTAAGGAAGAAGCAGACGTGGTGTGCCGGGAGATCAGCTGTGGCTCGCCTATTGTTCAGGCTGCAACACAATACTTTGGAGAGGGACAGGGGCTGCATGGTGTCAAAGCTAACTGTGTTGGGAACGAGACCTCCATCTCTAACTGTGTGATGCAAGAGTTCAGAGAAACTTGCATTGATGCTACCATTTCCTGCATGAGTAAGTCAAACTTATAACTCACATTATACACTAATTTACTTTAACGCTCATCATTGTATTTTTGTCGCATGCTTGGTTGGACATATCTCAATTTCTTTTCTAAAACTTCACAGACACCAGGCCAATCCGGCTAGTAAATGGGACTAATCGATGTTCTGGTCGCGTAGAAGTGTACTATGAGGGACAATGGGGAACCGTTTGTGATGACAAATGGGGCATGCAGGAAGCATCTGTAACATGCCGAGAGATGAACTGTGGGAATGCTCTTGCTGTCAAGTACAAGGCCTACTATGGAAGAGGACAGGACCAGGTCTGGTTGGACGATATTGACTGCACCGGTCATGAGAAGTCCCTGTCTGATTGCCCACATAGAGGTTTTGGAGAGCATGACTGTGACCACCATGAAGACGCTGGTGTTATTTGCTCAGGTAGCATATGTTCTAATATTTTTGCCGCTGATATATGCACAAATAATTTTAGATAAATCTGACATAAATCTCTTTAACTGCTTACTTACCAGAGAATGTGAGATTGATTAATGGGACGGACAGCTGCTCTGGCAGAGTAGAGGTCTTCCACAATGGTCACTGGGGAAAGATCTGCAGTAACAGTTGGGGTGGGACAGAGGCTACAGTACTCTGTAAAGAACTCAGTTGTGGAACTCCAAAGAAAAACCAAGACGTCTTCACTTTTGGTGACAGCCCACTGGCGGGGTTTATAAGTAGATGCTCTGGTAACGTGAGCTCCATCACTCAGTGTGTGGTGGATGAACATGTCGGGAGATGTGAAGGTGTTTCTATTGCATGTGCAGGTAAGACAGACTATTTGTAAATTTCCATATTTTTCATAAGACAAAAACAAAACATTTAAGTTTCCATGTTGAACCAGTTCATGAAAAGGCTCTTTAGTGGTTGAATTTTTCTTATCCATTACGAACCATCTTCATGTTAATGTGCCACATTACATTTGCTAACTAACTTAGATCTTAATTATACATTAGTATGGTTGTGAACATGGTATACAGTAGACTAAGGTAAATATAGTTCTCACTTATTTATGCAACATGACTATTTTGTACCTTTTGCATCTGACTGTTTTGTGAAGCCAATAGATAATAATAATAATAATAATAATAATAATAATAATAATAATAATAATAATAATAATAATAATAATAATAATGTATTTGCTTTGATAGATAAATTGGTGTGCCCGTTATTTTTGGTTCAATGCAGATTCTAAAGTTTTGTAGCAATCAATCCTTTGAAAAGAGAATGAATCAGATGTAATAAGTACTACTCTAAGTTATTCTCTGATCTGGCAATTAATAACTCTTTTGTACTTCAAATATGACTTTTCTTCAGGTAATCCTCCAATTCGGGTTGTTAATGGCACTGACCGATGCTCAGGTAGAGTGGAGGTTCTGCATGATGGCCAGTGGGGAACAATATGTGATGACGAGTGGGACATCAGAGATGCCCAGGTGGTGTGCAGAGCCTTGGACTGTGGATCTGCTCAGACAGCTAAAGGTTCAGCCTTCTTTGGTCAAGGCCAGGGAGACATCTGGCTAGATGATGTAAGCTGCTTTGGGAATGAATCGTCCCTTTTGCATTGCCGCCGACCTCCTTTTGGAGAGAACAACTGTGGCCATGGGGAAGATGCTGGGGTGATTTGTTCAGGTATCTAAGTTACCATCTTTTATTCTACGTTTCAGATGTGTGATTATCAAAATTTCATGTGGTCATATCAGACTTTTATCACCTAGAAAACTCTTCTTGTTTTTTTTTTTTTAGCTAACCTTAGGCTGATAAATGGCACTGACACCTGCTCCGGCAGGGTTGAAGTCTACAATGGGGGCCACTGGTCATCAGTATACAATCTCAACTTTGATATGAATGAAGCTACAGTGGTGTGCAGAAATATGAATTGTGGAGATGCTGTTAAGGCCTTTGGATCATATGGGGAAAATATGGACCTCAGAGGCTTACAGATGAGTTGCAGTGGTACAGAGCAGTCCGTCTCTCAATGCACACTGAGAGAGTATACCAGAAACAGAAATGATCGTACTGAAGAGGCATCAGTCCAATGTTCTGGTATGTGGCGTGTCAAATTTTTAACAAACTTTCTCAATAAAATGTTAATTCATATGAAATTTTCCTGATCACCACTGTATGTCACCTGTAATTTCCAGGAAATGTGAAGTTATCTGATGGGCCCCATCGTTGTGCTGGAAGAGTGGAGTTTTTTGATAAAGGCCAGTGGGGGACTGTGTGTGGGGAATTCTGGGACATTAATGATGCAACAGTTGTGTGCAGACAGCTGAACTGCGGCAGGGCTCATAAGATTACCAAAATGTCAGAGTTTGGTCAAGGGTCGGGGCAGACGTGGATTGAACATATTGAATGCAGTGGGAGGGAGTCTACTCTTTCCCAGTGCCCACAAAGACAACTTAGAGACAGAACATGCAACGCAACTGCCAAAGCTGGTGTGATTTGCACTGGTGAGTAATAATAAAAGCGGAAAAAACAAACAAAAAAAAACAGTCATGGTTTTAGTTTATTAGCTTGGTTTCTTTTTTTTTTCTCAATATGTATTTGAAGATTCTTCTGTAAATACACTTTGAGGTTCTTGTCTCCTACATAAAGTGCACATTAAAAATACAAAATTTTGACTAGATATTCTATGCTGAATGTCTACATCTTTGCATAACTTGTCTTCACAGGGAGCTTAGAGGTCCGGTTGGCTAAAGGCAAGGACGAGTGCTCTGGAAGGGTTGAGGTCCGTCATGCTGAAGCATGGCAAACGGTTTGTGATGCAGCCTGGACGGAAAGTAAAGCCGAGGTGGTATGCCAGTTGCTGGAGTGTGGCCATGCTTTAAACACTCCTGGTGGTGCTTCCTTTGGTCAAGGCAATGGAACTGTTGTGGAAGCGAGTGATTCATGTTTTGCCAACTTGACTTCTCTTCAAAAATGCTCAGTAAATGGCTTTAGTAGATCAACATGTGGACATGAACATGATGCTGGGGCTGTGTGTGCAGGTAAGGTTTTTATAGATAGCATCATGTTTTATGATATTTTCCATCCAAACATACCAGAAGACCATTTGCTGGTTATTTGCCCTTGATTATATAAGGGGACATACCTGTCATTTTGAGCAGTACAAAGGTCTGGTCAGCTCAAACAGGTGTTTTTTTTTTTTTGACCTATGTCTCATAATTGTCTTGTGAATTGTCCTTTAATTTTTTTTATATCCAGATGACTTCCAATTTTTTAGCTAGGAAATGGAATGAAGACTGTGATAAAAGAGGTCCTGAGTTTGATTTGAATCTATATTAAAACTACGGCAAACACAATGAGTTTAGATCTTTGTCATTACATTTGGTAATAAAAGTAGGTTTTAATGGGTTTTATTGATTTATTTACCTGTGACAGGTTTGATCATGGTTTGTTTGTAAAGGTGTGTCTCTTCGGGTGTCCATTTGGTTTGCACAGAATGTTTTTCTGTTTTCATGCAGCCCAGTTGCGGTTGGTTGGTGGCTCAGGCCAGTGCTCTGGCAGAGTGGAGATCTTCTACAAAGGCCAATGGGGCACCGTGTGCGATGATGACTGGCAAATGAGCAATGCTGATGTGGTGTGCAGACAGATTGGTTGTGGTCACGCGGTCTCGGCCCCCACCAGTGCACATTTTGGTAGAGGCTCCGGTCCAATTTGGTTGGACAATGTGGAGTGTACAGGCCAAGAAGTTGCACTTACACACTGTAACCACCGTGGTTTTGGAGAAAATAACTGTGGGCATGGTGAAGATGCTGGTGTCATCTGTTTAGGTAAGGAACCAGGTTCATTTTGAATCAAATTTATTTTTCCCTAATTGAACTTTTGTGGTTCTACAATTGTGTTTCAGGTGATCTACAAAAGCCTCAGATTACTTTGAATCCTTCTTCAGAGGTAATCTGGGGTGAGAAAGTGGAAATCACATGCACTGTGGCAACAGAACACTTGGGTGGGACATTTTTGCTAAAAAAGACACAAGGTTCATTTTCGAAGGAAAAATTCTCAGACCATGAGGAGGCGACTTTTACCTTCCCTCAAGCAGAGTTCAACCTAAATGGGACATACTTCTGTGAATATCATAAGAAACTGGCAGATCAAATTATTTATTATCCTCAAGGAAATACAGCCGACCTCTCTGTTGGCGGTAAAAAAAAAATTCTTATTGTTTTTTTGTTGATTTTTTTTTTACGCATAACATACTATAAATTTATATATGTATATATACAGACATTATCATGAAATCTAAAATAAATTTTGTCTTTATCTTGCAGTAAAGTTAGGGATACCCAGCATCTCTCTAACATCTGCTCATCAGATGGTGATCTACAGTCCTGTTAAACTATCCATCACCAAAGGAAGTGCCTTCTCCATAACCTGCGCGATTCATTCCAGGTTTCCTGGTGGCGTCTTCTACCTGAGCAGGTCTAACAAAAATAACACTGAGGCCAAACCAGCATTTGGGCACAACATTTTCTACATGGCGTACTTTGAATTCTCAGAAGTAGATTTTAAAGACCAAGGAGACTATGCCTGTGTCTACACTGTTAACATCTCATCAATTCCCTTCCGCTCCTCTCCCTCTAAGACACTCCAAGTCACTGTACTCGGTAACGTTTGACATAAAGAAATAATTGCTTTACTTCCGTCATATTTTTGTTTTTAGTTCTTTTTTCTTCTAACACATGTTTTTATCTTTACAGCAACCACCTCTTCATCAGTTGTTGCAGGTGTTGTGAGTGTGTTAGTGATACTGCTTATCTTGTTGGTCATTGGCTTCTTTGTTTGGAGGAAGAAATGGCGAGGCGCCGGTAAGATTCCTATTTTATTGTTACTGTTTATTGAATACTAAATTGTGCAGTGGTCATTTATGTCTGAAAACTTGTAGAGTTTGTCATTTGGATGTTGCTGTGTATTACAACTCTTATCAGCAGGGTGTAATGATACTTTTCATTGTGACACACTGCATATAATGTAACACTGCATACACCAAGTTAACCTTTCAGAAGTTATTGAATGTAAATGTCTGACTTTGAAATTAGCAATAAATCTCTAATAAGTTATTTATGTCATTGTTATGTCTTTTAGCAAATATATACATTTTGGCAATTCTAAATGAACTAAAACAAGAAAAGTTTGTTTGATTTAAGATCAGATAGTGAGATAAAAAAGTGTATGTGCATGTATGTAAACGTCTGGCTATCTATGTACATATGTGCACATATTTGTTGGCACGCATGTTAAAAAAGCTCTAAAGTAAACACATTTTTTAGTCTCAGAGTGAAAACTTCTAAAAAGCATCTAAACTGAAATTACATTTTATTTATTTTCTAGAGTAAAAAACAACAACAAAAAAAATCTAATATTAAACATATTTTAAAAAAACAAAATCACCTGTGCCACAGCTCTATATTTCAATGAAAATCATGCGAAAATATTTTTTGGAAGAAATTCAAGTTTATCATAGTTTAAAGTAAGAACTGAGTAATCCATGACTATGTGAAAACGAGAACTGCTTTTCAATTGACCATGATGTTATGCTTTCTTTTTAGTTGTCATGGCTCAGTTTAACAACAGGTTAGAATCCAAAAAACAAGAGCTGGACGACAGAGGCAACGGAGCACTCGATGAAAGGTAATGTCAATGTCGTCTTTTATGTGCTCTTTGCCCTAATGCTGTGTTCCTTGATATTCACTTTCCAAAAACCCATGACGCATTTTGTAAAACAGTTGAGTGTATAGGGGGATAAATAGTGTATGGGAAGATGCTATTTATTTGTTGAAATAAAAAAGTGTACAGATGGCAATTGGTTGAGCTACATTTTATTTACGACATGTGTTCGCAAATGTTTTCTAAATATAACAACAATATATGGCCATTTCCAGTTTTTTTGTGTTTTGGCTAAAAAATACAAAAAAAAAAAAAAACAAAAAAAAAAAAAAACAGGAAAGACAAACAGTTTGGAAACTATGTTGTGGTGACATGATTCCAATCGTATCCATCTTCCTCATTTTTAGGGAACGTACCAACCAGTTGTATGATAGAGGACAGCAGGACAGCATGAAAAGAATGAACAACAATCTTGATTTGGAGATCACAGAGGAAAAAGTCCCAGAAGATTTGGCAGGAAGAGTCTGTTATGAGCGTGAACCACTGGTTGATCCTTAATGGACCCTTAATGGATCAACCAGCAGTACCATCCAACACAGGCCTTCTACTTATTTTCAAAGCAACACAACATCAAGTTGAAAGGCGGTGTTTACTTTCTCTATACATTGTTGAAAACACCAACGCTGATGTCTTAATGTTCTGAGACTCCCGAGCAAACTCATTTGTTAGAACACCAACCTATCGGGAACAAGCTTTGGACCTTTTGATGATGTGTAGAAGCTCCTTACAAGTTCCAAAAATAAATAGGAAACTTTGTTGTGTTTTTACATCTAGTTTTCGAAAAGTAATTTTTAGTTTTTATTTTACAATTGAATGATGTAAACCTTATCATTTTCTTTAATGGTAAGTGCAAACAATGAACAACTGCTCAATGATTACACAGATAAAATATAGTTCTAATCTCTCATGCAATATAATTCATTTAGTCAGAAACAATCATTTTCATTCATATTCCTGTGGTGATTTTTAAATATAAAGTAAATCATAATGCTATTTGGTGCAAGGATGAGCTGAAGGTCTTAATCACCTTGAAAAAAGAAGGTTTTGGTGTTTCCCAGTAATTTGCTTTTTGTAAAGTGTGACTGATTAATAAAATTTTGCTTTGAAAAGAGTGTTGACTTTGATCATAGATTTCTTCAAAATCAATGAATCAATGAACAGGTACTCAGAATATTCTGGTGAAAAATTAATATACTAAGTATATTACATTTTAACATACTTGAGCATACTGTAAGTCAGACTAATCGTGAGTATACTTCAAATTCACTTAGGATTAGTTAACCTAAAGTGTGACATTTTGGAACAACTAATTTTGTGCGTTGTGTATTTTAATAGTATTTAAATTGTATTTAAAGCACAATTTCAATTGTTCTAAGTATACTTCAACATACTTTTATTGGACCACTTAAGTTAAATTTAGTATACTTTAAGTGTAATGCTTTTTTATGTAATATAAACATGCTTGATTACAGTAGTATATATTGAGTGTACTATTTTTGTGACTGAATTGCAATCTAAAATATATTTAGAATGTATTTTAAGTATTCTGGCATTACATATTTTATATATTAGTAATGTGATTACAGTATGCTACAATTACACTTTTGGTTTATTATAATTGCTAAGTAACTAAAAAGTGACTTTTTAGTTACTTAATGTCTTTTATTATTCTGCTTTGCCACTTTATACATTACATGCTTCATACACACTACAGTACTACAAACACATCAGGGTGCCAAATTACTATGCACTTGCTACACACTTTACAGGTGAAATTAATTACATTGTGCATTGCCGTTTTAACATAAATTTGGTTTTGCCGCCCTTACATTCCAGATATCTCAAAATGTTTTATGACTAGCTGTTTTAGCAATTTAAGATGTCTCTAATTATGTTTTGACTAGACAAAATACCTATTTGATATATCTCTAATTACATTCTGACTCGTCAGAATGACGTCAGATTTACCATTGAGTTGTACGGAGACTTCAATTCAAGTTATCTACAATGAATTACTGACTATCTGAAATACACATTTCAGATATGTACAATTAAATTATGACCAGTCATAAAGTAAGTTCAAGATATATCAATTTTAGTTTTGACTAGTCATAATTCTAACTAAAGATATTTCGAATGACAACATAATTCAAAATATCTTAAATTTATTTTTGGAAAGAAGACATGTAGTTTTGACTAGTGAAAACTAAATTATAGATATCTTGAATTGTTCCTGCAGTTAATCATGTGCAAGCAAAAATGTTTTTCCTGGCTATTAAAATATATTATTTGATTTTAATGTTACAAGTTTTTCCAATGATTGTTTCAGCAGCTCTCTTCCCTTGTACAGTCAGTTGAATAAGCTGAACCAACCTAAAAATTGATTCTGTCACTTTTGGCTGCAACATCTAAGTGTTTGCTGTGTGACAATGTTTGGGAAAAAATTGACCAAATGTTTTTTTTTAAGAGTAGTTTTAATTTCCTCACTCTGGAGGTGTTTCAAGTATAAATTACTTGTTTAAAATCATCCAACATAGTCTCAATTAAATATTGGTCCAGAACTTGACTTAGCCTCTTAATCTCAAAGTCTTAATTAAACCTCTGAAGCAACCCCAAGCCAACTCACGAGGAGCACAATGTTTCACTATCACATCTTTTTCTGAAATGATGTGTTCAAGAGACACTGTCATACAATCCTTAGGAGTGAAGAACACGGGTGGGGTGTGTTGGGGTGTTCTCATGCCACCCGCTACAAGATGCCACTCTGGGTGGTTGCCCATGTCACCCATATCTGAAACCTGAAACCACCACCAGGTATTATGAACTGTGCAGTCTTGCAAACGGTGGATTTAAAACTGGAAATATTCAAATCAATTCATTTTGCTTAACAGTGTTTGAGTAAGGAGCTAATAATAGAAAGTAAAATAAATGTTTGTGTGCAACTTTTGAAATCCAGGCTTTAATGTAGCTTTGCTGCTGTTTGTGGCTTTTAAAGGTGTGCTTCTGTGTGGGCGTGTCCATTCTTGAGTGGTTTTGCTAATGACAGGGACAAGCCTTGACAGGAATATGGTCAGACGAGTGGGTGTGTCCATGCAGGAAGGTAAACTCTGTCCAAACCTGTTCACCTTGTCTGCTGCTTCAGCAAGCCCACATACCTTCAGACAGCATACTGCAACATTCTCAGGGTAGTTTCTCTCAGAAAACCTCAGTTTTTGTCCATTTTGGTGTTTTCCTTTTGGAATAGCAGACATGTTGACGGTGTACATGGCCAGTGTGAGCGGTTCTGTGGAGGTACAGTATCCAGTCTTTGTTTTCCTTATTATTTTGCTGCAGAAAATACAGTGAGGCATGGTGTACAGTGTATTTTCCATGTGAAGACAATCTGTGTGCACAATTCAGAAGAACATGTGGTCAGTGAGGCATATCTTTGGTAGAACTCAGACTCAACCAATGCCTGGGTACACTTAACCTCTACTGACAGATGAAATGCTTTTCTTTCCAGATGAAGAAAAATCAAGAACGAATCTTCTCTGTCCTCACTTCTAAGAAAATTGCCTTCAAACAAGTGGATATTACGCAGAACTCTAAGGACAAGGATTTAATGAGGAAGATGGCAAACAATCCCACTGCACTTCCTCCACAGATATTCAACGGAGATGTATACTGTGGAGTAAGTTTTTATTAATTGTGTAACAGAGATACGAGTTAGAAAGAATGAGGTGAATTTAAAAAAAAAAAGACATTTAAATGTGAAGGGTTGCCACATACGCCGCACTTAAAAAATCCTTGCAGCACAGTAGGGTGTGGATACAAGGACTAAATAAATATTTGCTGTATGAATCACCCATGTTGTGGCTTCACAGACACTACAGTAATTCTAAAAACATAGCTGACATTTTCATTTTATTTTTGAGTTCCACAGACGTTACTTCCTGCCATCCTTTTTGATCCGTTCATGATGCATTACATGTAAATTAAATGGTTGAATTACCTCCTCAGCAGTAGCAGTTCTTGTCTGAATGGCACCCTATGCAAGCTTCTCTTTCTATCGCCCCAAACTTGTACTGCAGTGGAGTGTGTGGAAACTTCCAAGTTGCATACCCATGCACAATAACAATATAAAATGTGCTCAGGGTGTAAAGGACAGATAAATATGATGTTTAATACATATATGGTGCACCACTATAGTGCCACCTTGGGCAACTACTCATATGGCCCATTTTATGTGACAAGATAAGACTCTTACCCAGTACAAACTCATAGGGGCTCAATGAAACGCTTTTATTATAAGATGAATCCAGTTGTGTAATACCACATTGGTGTGATTTAAGGGGCTGAAACTTGTCAAGTTTCAACTTGTCAAGCACAATGGAGTCTTCCTCCAATGTGATTTGGGGCAAGAGTCTAAAGCACATTTCTTTATGGCTTACTTTTTTTGTGGAAACTTTTTTTAAATAAAGTTTCCACAAATAGTCTACCATACAGTATTTGCATTCACATACAACCTTCAAATCTCGTACAATCAGACTTCATTATTAAATAAACCATAACTGATGTTCTTGGTCTTCCATAAAATTGTTCTCAGAAGAATAAAAACACCCAGCCCTGACCCTAAACAAAACATTTTTTTTAAATAAATACAAATTAGTAACTTAACAGTCTTATTTCTGTCATCCCTTAAACTTGCCCTTCATTGCAAGAAACTGTTTGAAAGAAAACAGTTTTGGTAAAGTAGACTAGTCACATAAAAGTCTAACGTTTCTATTTATCCAAATATGGTCACAGAACTCTGGAAGTAATGAAATATGTTTGTGTGAAGTCATCTAATAAATTGCTTTCATAAATATGAAACATTGTATACAAGTTACTAGGAGATATTAGGAGAGAATATTAGTACATCACATTCTTCCTGTGCTGTAAACAATTAAATAACTTACAACCACCTGTTTTTATGTTTTTTTTCCCTCTTGATTCCTCTATCTCAAACTAAACTTTTAATCAGCTAACTTTCTTTCTTTTTTCTCCAGGACATTAATGCATTCAATGAAGCGATTGAGAATGAAGAACTTGAGAAGTTCCTCAAGCTATAGAGGGAAGACTGAGCAGCAATGTGGAACTTTTGGGAATATACTTATTGAATTTTCTGCACAAGCTATTATGAAAGAATATCTTTTTGCTCATCGATGTGCCATACAGTATGCTTTATTGCTTCAAGATGCCAGGAAGGGTTGTTTCCTGAGAAAAGCATGTGGGTTTTTGGGTAACAACACATTTTGGAATACTCTAAAAGTGAAATAAAGTGTTTCAAAACTGTTTGATTTATGTGTTATTCCAATTTATTTGTGTAGTTCTTTCTTCAGTCATATAATTTCACGCTACAGTAATCAGACAACATCACAATTTGCAACCTTTTGAGCAACAGAACTACACATAGTGAGGGAAATGTTCAGTTTTTGAACATAGTTTTTAAAACGAACTTAGAACATGCCAATAAGTTTAAAGGAAACTTGGTTTTTATTGAATTTCTTAAAAAGGTAATTTATAAATATAAACATATTTTTAAGCACATTTTTTATTCAGTACCTTCAGCCTACTGAAAGAAGAAAAGCAAGAATTCGGGGAGACTTTATTGCAATATTTTTCCAAAGGTCAGATAAAATGTTTTCTAAAATTTGCAAAGAATTATTTGCAAATTTTTTTGAGAGAAAGAAATGCTCTCAGCAGAAAGCAAAAATATTCCATGCGTTTGTATTTGTGATGTATTTCTCCAGAATGAGCCTACTGATCGAACCCATTCAATAACGGGAAGCGACTCACATCTGTGATATTAGCCTTAATAATGCCGTTTAGTGCAGGATATTTTCACACATATCTATTAAATGTCAAAACCTTGCTTTTAAACAACATATAGAGTGAAGACAGAGGAGCAATGGATTCTGGTTAATGATCAGTTCGGAAGTACCCAGGAAGTCGGTCAATATTGGTGAGCAGAGCCAAACGATGCGGATCACAGAATGATTCGGAATTCCCATCCCCTCCCTGCCGGTATTAAACCAATGTCGCCGCTTTATGACGTCCTCTTTACCCGCTACCTGAGAGGAGAACTGGGTGC